GGTTCAATAGAGCATTAGCAGACTGCCAGTTAGAAGACTGCCGGTTAGAAGACTTAGGTTTCTATGGGAAACCTTACACTTGGGATAACAATCATAAAGATGATACATTCTTTGAGGAACGACTTGATAGAATGGTGGCTACAGAAGAATGGAGGAAATTATTTCCTGAGGCTGGGGTATATCACTTGAGGAGGTGTGGTTTGGATCACAATCCCATTCTATTAAAAACCAATGTCTTAGTGGAGGATGTGAGTTGGGGCAACTATTTCAAATTTGAAGCATTCTGGCAAGAGCATGAGGAGTGTAAACAGATTATTCAAGGGGGGTGGGAGTCAAGTGGCACAGACTCAATCATGGGAAAGATCAAAGTCTGCGAGGAGAAGCTCAGAAGCTGGAGTAAACAGACTTTTGGTAGTCTGAAATCGAGAAGGCTTAAAGCAGAAAAAGTTTTGGAGAAGATTGATCGAATGGTGAAGACAGAGGCTATCTTAGCCCAACGGAGAGCGCTTGAAAATGAATTGGAAGACATACTCATTCAGGAGGAATTGATCTGGAAACAGAGGTCCAGAAATGAATGGCTGAAACATGGTGACAAAAACACCAAATTCTTCCATCGTCGAGCCTCGGAGAGAAGAGCAAGAAATATGATCAGGAGGCTGAAAGATGAGGATGGAAGGATCTGTGTGGGATAGGAAGAAGTGGCTCGCTGTGTAGTCAGTTTTTTCAAAAAGTTGTACACTGCTGGTACTAGAACTAACGCCAATTCAGTAGTAGAAGCAGTACCACTGAAGGTTACTACTGCTATGAATGAAGAGCTGCTAAAGCCCTTAATGAGAGAAGAAATATGGGCGGCCCTGAAGACTATGGGCCCTTTAAAGCCCCTGGGGCGGATGGAATGCCAGCTCTCTTCTTTCAGATAAACTGGGATGTAATGGGAGACACAATCACTACTGAACTTCAAGGTTTTTTCGAAGTTGGTTGCTTCCCACAGGAGTTAAACCATACCCTAATAGCCCTCATTCCCAAGAAGAAAAACCCCCCAATCCCCTGTGGACTTTCGTCCCATCAATCTATGCAAAGTACTCTACAAAATCTTCTCTAAAGTACTGGCAAATAGACTGAAAGGGATTTTAAATGAGGTGATTGTCCAAAATCAGAGCGCCTTTGTACCAGGAAGGTTGATTACAGATAATGTCAATGATTGCTTTTGAGTGTTTTCACTCAATGAAAGCAAGAAAATCAGGCAGAAAAGGCTTTATGGCAGCAAAGCTGGACATTACTAAAGCCTATGATAGGGTGGAGTGGGATTTCCTTGAAGCTATAATGCTAAAATTGGGGTTTGATAATAGGTGGGTGCAAATGGTGATGTGGTGTGTTAAAACGGTGTCTTTCTCCACTCTGGTGAATGGTCACCAACTGAAAATTTCTATCCTAGCAGGGGACTCAGGCAAGGGGATCCCATTTCCCCCTACCTGTTCCTATTTGTGGTGGAAGGCCTCTCGGCATTGCTTTCTAAAGCAGAACAGGAAAGGAAAATTGAAGGAATTCGAGTGAAGAGGACTGCCCCTCAGATTACTCACCTACTTTTTGCTGATGACAACATACTGTTCACTAGGGCTACCAGAGATCAATGTGAGCAATTGAAATCTATTCTACAGAGCTATGAAGCAGAATCTGGACAACAGGTCAATCTCCACAAGTCAGAGCTATCGTTCAGTCCTAATGTCAAACAAGGACTAAGAAGGGAGTTAGATGGGAAGCTTAATATGAGAAGGGTGGATTACCATCAAAATATCTGGGTCTGCCTACCAACATAGGCAGGTCGAAAAAACAGGTTTTTGGCTATCTTGTGGACAAAGTCAGAGCTAAAGTGAAAACCTGGATAGAGAAACTTCTTTCAGTGGCAGGGAAGGAGGTACTGATCAAATCTGTGGCTCAATCTCAACTGGCATATGCAATGTCAGTTTTTAAGCTCCCTACTAGTATATTAAAGGAACAAAACGAGCCATAGCTCAATTTTGGTGGGGACAGCAGCAAGAAGAAGGCAGAACTCACTCGCTAAGCTGGAAGGAGCTTTGCAGACCAAAAAAATAAGGGGGAATGGGTATCAAAGATCTACAGAGTTTTAATCTTGCCCTACTGGGTAAAGAACTGTGGAGACTATCCCAATTCCCTAATTCCCTAGTGGCACGAGTAATGAAGGCAAAATACTTTGAGGGTTGTGACCCTCTGGAGGCTGAACTAGGGAGGAATCCTAGTTGGGTGTGGCGTGGCTTAATGGCTTCGAAGAACCTGGTAAAGCAAGGTGCAAGGTGGAGAGTGGGAAATGGGATCAAAATTGACATTTGGTTGGATAAGTGGATACCCTCAAGTGATACTTTCAAGGTGACTTCCCCAACAGTCAATTGGGGAACATCAACTTCTGTGGCTGAACTGATTGATCCTGATACCAGAAGCTGGCTTTCAGACCTAATTCAAGCACATTTCAATCCTACAGACTGCTCCAATATTCTAAAAATTCCTATTCCAAGACAGCCTGCTGAGGATAGAAGGATTTGGGGACAAGAAAGAACGGGGGAGTACACTGTAAAGTCGGCGTACAAATTATGGGAAGAAAGAAATGTGAATGAGGAGGGAGAGTCCTATATACTAGTTAATTGGAAGAAGGTTTGGAACCTACAGATCCCTCCTAAGGTAAAGATATTTACTTGGAGATGGCTGCGGAATATACTACCCACAAGGTTTCGAATTCTAAAACGCACCCAACAAGAAAGTGATGATTGCCCTTTCTGTGGCCTAGAAGAAACCCAAAAACATGTTCTTCGGGACTGTGCATGGGCTCGCAGGGTTTGGAGGTACAGCATAATGGACTCACTGGTGGGGAGGGGAGAAAATCTAACCTCGGAAGAATGGTTTTGTGAACGGCAGGAAACGGAGTCTGAGGATCAACTTGGATCCTTTCTGGTGGCTCTCTGGTACCTCTGGGATCAGCGAAACTGCCATCTATGGAATAAAAAGAAATTAGAAGAGTGGGAGATCCTACCCAGAGCGAGTGAATGGTTGCAGGATTACCTGGCAAAGCAGACGAAGTCCCAAGCGAAGCCGAAGGAGGAGGACCAGCAATGGAAACCTCCGATGGCAGGGGCGGTGAAGCTTAATGTCGATGCGGATTGTTTCGATGGACAGGGAATGGGATGGGGAGTGGTGGCTAGGGATCAGGATGGTCAATTTCTGTTCGGTGCAGTTAAGAGATCCCGGATTCAGTGGAACCCAGAAGAGGCAGAGGTGCTGGCGGTGGATTTTGGTTTGGAAATGGCGAGGAGGAGAGGAAGGGGGGAAGTGGAAATGAAATCCGATTGCCAGGGAATCATTCAGCAACTACGCCGAGAAGAGAGAAGGGAAACCGAGGTTGGGCTGATGTGCGAGGAGGTCCGGATCAAGGCCCTGGCCTTGTGCCGGGTTCGGTGGAACTGGGTAGGCCGAAATAAAAACAGGTCGGTCCATAAGATAGTCCATCTCGAGTGTAATTCGGATAGTGAGGAGGTTTGGGATAACAACCCACATCAAGTACTTGTACCTCTCCTTAGAGAGGATGCTACTGGAAACTTTGCTTCTATTGATTAATAAATGAATACAGTTTTCCCTAAAAAAAAAGTTCAAACACAAGAGAGGTGGCAAATTGGCCAAGGAAGCAGTGGTTCCAAGTAGGGCTGAGAATTGCCCCTACCCACCCCGGACTATCTTTCGATCTTGTTGGACCAGTCTCTAAAGAGTTAAGATATATAATTGACCCTAGTGATGGACTCAGGATTCTCGTATAGGTGTGGACGTGTGTCGGTCGATAAAATTAAATAAAATAATAAATAAATTTTAATTATATTTTATTGTGAAACACAATGAGAAGTGGGATCGAAAGAAGTAAAGGAAACAATAGGTTTTTTTATAAGATGACAATAATAAAGAGCGGTAGTCCATATGCAACCAGACTCCCGATGAAAGAGCATTTTTTGTCACTAGGTGGACAACTATGTGAAAGCTATAAGGATCAAGAAGAAACGAAACTTATTCAGGTAGAGAAAAAAATGAGAAAACTTCCTTACGATTACCCTTGCCTAAGATCTAAGAGCAATAAACCATTGAGTCTAAATGCTTAAGCAATGGAAAAAACACAAAATTTGTCATAAGTTAACTAAATTTAAAATAAATAATATATTTACGTATTTTGGAAACTTTATGACACCAATTTCATCGTAGTGTATTGAAGGTATGTTGATTACAATTATTGAAGGTGTGTCGGAAGTCCTAAATCCAAAAAATTATACCGACAAAACATGGGTCTCTCACAAAATATTCGGGCGAAGGTGTGTCGCTCGGTTCCGGCCCTGACTAACCCGCCTCGCTCCTGTTTCCTTCCTCACCATGTCTGACCCTTTAGGGTCGAAGCGGGTCGGGTTAGTGGCTCGATCCTAATTAACTCACATTTTTTAATAAATTATATTTTGGTACCCAAATTATTTTCTTTTTACAATTTAGTACCTATTTTTTTTACAATTAAGTCCATAAATTTTGATGGCAAAATTACGTTTTGGTTCCCAAAATTTATTTTTTAAACAATTTAGTACTTAAAATTTTAAAACTTTACAAATAGGTCCAATGTGTTCGTATGATGAATTTCATAGCACTAGTTGCTGCTAAGGGCTACAGGGTCAAAAAGTGGCTCGGGGCTAAATTGGCCCGACCCTTACAGGGTCAAAAGATGACTCGACTCTAAACTGACACTGTAGACAATCTAAACGAGCTCGACTCTCAAGTTCAGGATGGATCGAGATGGGTCAATAGGTATTTAGGGTCAAACTTAAACCCCTAGTTCCAAGTGCATCAATGGAGCAAAGGGTTTTCTTCAATAAAGAGAGACTCGAATAATCGATTTACACGTCAAATAAGTACATTTCTTGTACAGAAAAAAAAAATCAAAAATGAAATTTTGTGCTAAGATGAAGGACTTCAATTGTTTTTCTTCTATTTGACACGAACTATATTAAATGGCAACGTACAAAACCTTGAAAAATTCATCTATAACTTAACATAAGAGACCAAGAAACACAAAATTCGAACCTAACATATTTGTGAGGAATCAAAATGAAGTCTTATACTTGGTCTAGTCCATCGTCAACCACAACTCACATTACCAGGACATGCAGCAAACCTATGCTCCCTCCCTCCCTACTCTCCTAAACATTGACAAGAGAAGTTACCGAGCCAAAACACTTCAATTACACGGATACAAATTTGGCCTCTCGTTCATACGCAAATCAACCTAGAACCATCAAAATAACGTCATAAACTTGCTATCTTTTGGAGCGACATGAAATGCACGTTAACCTTGCTAACAATTTCTGGATCAATCTCTACCGGTCTAAGTACATTCTGAGAGAAACAATCCATACCCTTGCTTGACCCCGCCTCAATCCAGCTAGTTTGAGCCACAGGTTCATCAACCAAAGCTGCACAACCGCCACCAAAGAGCTCGGCCTTCATCTCCAAACAAGATTTGATATCATCCTCATTTCGAGCTTTATTCAACTTCTCGATCAGATCGTTGAAAGCTGAAGCCCTCTCCGACCAATTCTTCACCTTTTCTGGTCTTCGATCACCGTTGATCTCACTCTCCTCGAGCTTCTTCAGTCCTTGGTCAATAACATGTAGTTTCCTCTTTCTGAGGTTCTCGCTAACCATGGGATCTGGTAGGGCGGTTCTATCTTGAGATGAGCTGGCTTGCATGGTCTTCATAGAGAATGTCTCCTCGAGCAAGCTTATGTTCTGCATGTACCGATCGAAGGCTTCATTTTCCTTTTCAATGTTTCTTTCCTTGAATTCCTTCAATTTGTTAAACCTCCATTTGTTTAACTCCAAAGCATCCTGAAGTAGCACAATAAGGAGAAAATATCATCATGTAAATCATAATATATAAAGTCAGAGCTCCAGTTCTGGAATTAGGTCAATCCAACACACCTTATTGGTCAGAGGCTTTCTCGAACGTGAGGTATGAAAACTGTTCAATTGGGAATAACTGCTTGATAGTTGTCGATAGGATGCAGCACGAAGGGAACTCCTACGAGAATCATGGGAAAAGAAAGACCAATAATTGCGTTGATGACTAAAAGAAACTAATTCATTGGACAGAGATCTCATAGATGGAGAGAAACGACAGAGACAGAAGAAACTGAACAATATAATGTAGAAGAATTATTGACAAAAAAATGAAATACAAATAAAATTGGATCTTTCAGTTCTCTGAGAGTTGGCAGAATCGACGGAAATGTTGACAAAGATTCACAGTTATCTCAGGAGGACCCGATGAAAACAAACTAGACATGCACTATACTTTATCTGGACTATTAATGGTTCATAACTGAGAAGATGACTGGGAACAGACAGGAAGAGAATAGCCAGAAAAATGAGATTTAACATTCACTTTTGTACCAACAGAAAAAGAGGATAAATTATCTGAATGGAAAAAAGTTTTATGCTTCGTGTTAAATGGTTACTTTAGTTGAAGCATCAGACCCTAGTTTTGTGCAAAACAAATTAAAAATACAATTTCCCCCAAAGTAATTAAAATTCTAGATTCCACCCCAGTTAACAACATCACATCGGACAACTGCCGCTTAATCTGTATTACATGAGAGTAATAGTAAATCAATACAGAAAGATATATACGGACAACAAAGCCAGTAATGAAAGGATGATTCAATCAGGACAAGTAGAGAACAACATCCTACACATGAAGAAGTAAAAGACAACCAAAATGCAGGCAAGAGGCTGGATACAGAGAAAAACATTCAAATTGCTAGTTCATGCAACTTACGCAACAGGAGACACTTCAGGTGGTTGTTGATCAATGGGAGTAGTAGTTGAAGTTGGCGCCTTGTCTGGAGCGTTTTTGTTTTTTTGTAGAACTGCACATGAGAAATATTTTCAAGGGTGAAAAAAAACCACCACAGTCAACTTATACACCAGGAACTAAAGAAAGACAATAGCAGTTTTTAGAGTTAAGCTGAGTCATTCACAGAGTAAACTAGATCCAACCTGTCAAGAAACTATTTAAGGTTCGATAGACACCGAGGGAAACAACTAGAAACAGATTTCTCCCAATACACAAAACAGATACTCAGAATCGATGGTCTCTGGTGTTATGCACAACCATCATGCTCAAAGATGTCAGGAAAGATAGAAAATTGTCAGCAAAGTAGAAGGAAAATAAATCCATCATACCATGAATTTCGCATTGATTTTGGGCTCTTGAGCAGCAACCTTTGCAGCACTGAAAAGGGCACCTGCATAAGGAATAGTATTCAACCAAAGCTAGAGCTCCAAGAATGAATAGCCTATTCTAATGGTGACTATTATCTCCAGCCCAAAGAAAAACGACGACCCAATTTCCGGTATCGAAACAACAGAATCTCACAACCTGGGACTAGTATCATACAGAAACCTCTATCAAACCCAAAACCTAGATTCATATACCCAATGAACGCAGGCAAAAAACCCCAACTGCATGGCTGCGATTTCCACATCCCGAAAGGGAATGCTAGAGAAGTTCAACTGAAATACAGGATAGAAACAGCAGAGAAAAATTTCCACAAATTCTAACTTGAATTCAATACTAGAATGTTGAATATACGGCAGCTACCTGGAGCGAGCGACGTTGCCGCACTGGATACATTTAGGTTTGTTGAGGCCGCGCTGGGTTCTAGGTTGGATTCCAATTGTCCGCTGCACAGACGCGGCGGCGGCGCTGCCGGGCGTGTGACCTGAGTCGGAGGCGGTGCTGCTCGGTGCCGGCGAGGAAGCAGCCATCGTGTTTCCTTTGCGATTGCGATTTTAATTTCAATTTCAATTTTTCCTTTCCTCCTGCGCGGCTACAGGTGGAGAACCGCTGAACCGGTGATGATAATAGGCAGCGGATAGCGGGTCAATTTCCTCAGGGCACGGATCAGGCCTGGATCATCCGGCCCAATGTAGGCCTGGACCATCTGGCCCAATGTATTTTTTCTAATTTTTTATAACTAGGTTATTATTATTTTATTGAAAAGAGCATGCTAATTGGCAATTGCTAACTGAGCACAAATAACGACTGGTTAAAGGTTTGACCTGGGTTAGGTATAAAATCGTAGGGGTCCTCCCAATGACAATAAGGTTCGCTTGAGTTGTCCGCTAACCATATTGATTCGGTGGCTGGATCGCTTTTTTCGGCTGCGATCCGAGCTACTTGGAAATGTTTTCACTCCTCTTTCTGCATACCAACACCATCCTTCATCGCCCCATCATCCCCCAATCGGCGCCGCCGCTTGACAACCCCTCATCGGCGACCGCAACCCTTCCCTCTCCCTGATGTCGCGTTCCCCGCCGCCGTTGTTGTCTGCTTGCCGCTTTCCTCTTGTGCACTGCCCTCCTTCGCCCTCCTCTTCGGGTGTTCACCATCCTTCCATCGCTGCCATCGCCTATGTTGGTTTGGGCTCAAGTCTCTGCCGACGTTGTCGCCACGGGAGCACGAGGGTTAATTGCATTAGATGCCATTTAATTTTCAGATTGGTAGCACATTAATCACTTAAATTCATTTGGTGGCGGGTTGGATCTGGTCCTTAAACCTCATTGTTTCAGGAGGTTCTTAAACCATTTTTATTGGTTGATACTAAATTAGGTAGTTAGTGAGAGGGGTTAATAGTTAATAGTTATTTAGAATAAATAAGATTATGAAAATATAATTAATATTACTCATTAATGATTCTCTTTCTCTCTCCCCCTTGATCTTCTCCAAAATCCTCTCTCTCCACTACAATTAAAAGGAAATTCGAAATTAATTTAATTAAATATTATTATTTAATATTTAATAAATTCGAACTTAATATTTTTTAATTTTTTTAAAATGAAAATTGAAAATTAAAAATATATGCTCTCTCACTTCGTGCAACTTGCAATACAATATTAACATTTTGCGATGACATTATCAACATTTATGAAATGAATCGTTATTATTATACCTCATCATTATTAACGACTTCAATATACTTATCAATTCCTTACAATTATATTATTAACAATTTTGGATCAATTGTTACTATTTTATAGTTTCGTCATCAACGTTTATGAATGAATCATTAAAGTTATGTAACATAGTCATTAATAGTTTGAATAACAATATCATTGATTTACAACATCTTTAGTACTAATGATTCACATTTTCACATCATGTTTATAACTATCTAGTAATGGCCTCTTCCAATGATTTCTAATGACATTATTAACGTTTTATGATAAATTAATTTTGCTTTACATTATCATTCTTAATGATCATAAAGCACAATACTGATTTTCAACATCTTGGGTACTTGTGACATAGTGCACCTATGTGATTCAGTCAAACAAACATTTTCCATGAAAATATTAGCTCAAGGAAACCAACATTCACGCCTCAACACCAAACTTTTAATAACAATACAATGAATCATTGATAGCGAAAAGTATTTCGTTGAAAATAAACACAAAACATCAATGTAAAAATGTCCGACTTCAACATTATAAATGACATCAAACTTGTAATAAAGATATTAAAAACCATTAATATCGAATGATCAAGTCACTGATAAGGAAATAGATTTTTGTAATATAAAAATATTAATAATATTCAGATGCAATGTTTAATGTCAAATAACACTAAAAACGCATTAATAAGTAACATGTGTTTAATGGATAATGCATCCAAAAACTTTGATAACGATAGCAACTAATGATTGTTAAGTACCTTATTAGATATTATTAATATCTTATTTTCAAACATTGATAATGCTTATATACGCCTATTAATAATGACACCAACTACGTTACTAACTTAGACTGAAAGATTAATAACCATAGTTATATCATTAAACGTAAATTCACTTTTGATAATGTCATAAACAAACGAATATCTAACAAGTATCCTTATTGATAATGACATTTGACAAAGTTACAAACATAAACGAAAAAATATTAATAATTCAAATCACTAAACATAAACAATCTTACAAATGAATTAAATTTTTGCTAATGGTTGTATTGTGATTGGAAAAAAAAAATATTGATAATAGCACTTCCAATGATTATAAATCATTGCGAACCAAATTGATAATAAGATGTAATGGTAAATAAACTTCAACTACCAACAAATTGAAAACACAATTTCACTTTTGCTAATGTTACAAACAAAACATAACATAAAAAGTTAATAATGTCATATAGAATTATTAAAAAATATGTCGAACAACATTAATAATAACACAAACGAATACCTAACAACGAAAAATCTCAAGCCCATGCAATGAAAAGCCCTAATGATGATTCAATTTATAAATATTGATAATGTCATTACAAAATGTTAATACTTAATACTAATCGAAAGTTGCCAAGATGTGAGAGAGGCATATATTTTAAATTTCAAATTTCCATTTTAGAAAAAGAAAATTAATAAATTCGGATTTTATTAAATATTAAATAATATTTATTTCATATTTATTTTTAATTATAATGTAGAGAGAGGGTTATGGAGAAAATCATGGGAGGAGAGAGAAAGAGAATCATTAATTAATTATATTTGCATAACCCTATTTACCCTTAACTACCTATTAACTACTAACCCCCATTAACTACCTAATCCACTATCAGCCAATAGGAATACTTTAAGATTTTCCTTAAGAAATGAGGCTTAAGGACTTGAACTCAAGCCATTTGGTGGCAACTAAAGCACTTAAACTCAAATTTCGTTGCACAATTATCTTTTCCGTCCAAAAATTTAACGGCGAGTATGAAAACATAATTTTCCATCCACGTAATCATGTCAACTCAGTCTAAATTACTGTGTCACATAGTACAAAACAGAGTTCCGATCTTGGACTTCTACCTTCCCTTGCTATGGTGTCTCCCTCTTAATAGATTGAACCAGGCGCTGCACTGTCATTGTCGAAGTGAATCGAAAAATAATTTGTTGAGACGGCAAGCACAATTCTACAATAGCCTAGGTCCGGATAAATGAATCTTTACATTCACAACCTCTCTCTACTCGACTCCGGCGACTTCTCCGATCCATTCCTCGATCGCTTCTCCTGTTCTCATCTCAACCTTTTCCTTCTTCTTGGTCACCATCAGCTTCTTCAACTCCATCTCTGCATCATGACACCACTGCTATTAACGCCGATCAACCCCTCCATCGCATCGTTATGACAATATGTTTTTTCCTCTGCCTTTAACATATTGTATAATCTTCTCTGCCCCAGGTTTGTTTAAGTATAGGTATTTGTATTTCATTCTATAAGGATGATTTTTTTGTAGAAAAGAGTCGTAATCTTGGGATATACTTGTGTATTGGTGATTCCTTCTCTTGCCCATCTCTTGATCATGCATCTACTAAATTGTGTTGCGAATTTTTTATAGTGATTGCTCCTCCTTTAGTGACTAGATCTTTTGACTTTCATCATGGACAGTTCTATAGGGTTCAAGTGGGTCCCACCAGTTTTATGTGACACAGCAATTTAGACTGAGTTGACATGTTTATGTAGATGGAAAATTATGTTTTCATTTGGGTTTAAGTGTTTTAGTTGCAACCAAATGAATTTAAGTGGTTAATGTGCAACCGGTCTGAAACTTAAATAGCATCTAATGTAATTAATCCGGGAGCATGACCCTCCCTCTCCCCCACTGTCTCAGTGCATATAAGGTTAGTCTCTCTACCTACCTTCGTCTTTCATATATGTGATTTATTTATTTATTTTTAGATTTGACTTTTTTGCCTTCAGGTCGAGTGGTAGTTTTTTCCCCGTCTAGTCATAGTGTTATCACTATAGTGGTAACGTTACCAGATGGAGTGATGTTTACTACCAAAAGGCAACTTGGGCATGCCAAAATAACATTTTATGTTAATTCATTTTTTTGTACTAATTATAATTTGGGAATAAAAAATTTATATTAAATGCATTGCTTTTTAATTTAAATTCTAAATTACATATGTTGGTCTTTCTATTTCTCTCTTCCTTGTTCAATAGTTTTTTTTTTGTCTCCAACCGACAAACTTTCGCCGATGAAATCCCTCCATCAGACTCTCTCCAGCCACCTACAAAAATGTAACTCTACGTTAGAAAATGTACCACTCCATTTAGTAACATTACCATTGCACTGATAACGTCATCATTCCACTAATAACGCCATCACTACACTGATAACGCTAACATTATTAGTGCGGTAGTAGCATAATCTATAGAGTGGTAGCATTATCAGTGCAGTGGTATCGTCACCATATGGAGTGACAACGCTACCACTCCATCAATAATGCTACCACAACACTGATAACGTTACCATTGGTAGCTTTATCGATGGAGTGGTAACGTTATCAGTGTAGTGATAAATCTACCACCAGACAAAAAAAAAACTACCATTGGACCTAAACAAAATAAAAATTGAAAAATAAAAACCACATATCTGAAAGAATAGGGGAGGGGAGGAAGAGTAGTGGCGGAGGGACGCGCATTGGGAGAGGCGAACAGAGAAGGCGACGACTGCGTCTCTAGAGGAGGGCGGCGAGAGACAAGACGGCGGTCGACGACAGTAAGGTAACGACAGGGACGTGAGATTGGAACGTGGCAGGCGATCTCGTTGTAGTCGGTTGGAGATTCCTAGGGTTGGGAATGCAACGGCCGAGAGGAGATTTGCCACGGCCGAATGATGAGTTTGAGGGTAGAAGTGGAGAGGGAGTCTCTCTGGCAAAAATGAAGGATTGAGAGGAGGTAGGACCACGATAAAATGGAGGATTTTAGAATTATGGTGTTAATAATCCCATATAGTTATATTTTTCTCGTCCAAAAATACATTTGGTTTAATCTCATCCATCCATTTAAAATAAACATGAAAGAAAAAAGATCTGTATATTTTTTTTTTTTTGACAAAGGGATCACTTATATTGCTCAACTAATAAAATCGGTTACAAAGAGGGGAAACAACATGAGAAAACAAATCAAGAAAGAACAGCCTCAACATCTAGAGGAACACACAAACCAACAAGGAGAAGATTAGAACAAGAGAAAGCCAAGCATGATCCAACTAGACAAGGGCATTCCATTCTTGAACCGCAAACCAAAGCATCTGAATCACTCTTTGCAACCTCATTTATCAGAAAAACTCAAAGGAATGCTTCAGCTCATCCAATACAGCAATGACCATGATGATTGAACATTGCAACACCATATGCCGCCTCCTGGAAGTTGTTCGAAGACGACCCATCACAGTGAATCACCGAGGAGATTACATGGCGGTGGGCAGCACTATACAGGATTGTTCAGAGCTGAAACAAAGAGAGGGAGCCGGCAGCGGAAGCATCCATGACAAACCAGAGAGCAGGGAACACAAAGGGTTGAAATGCCCACAAAAACCACAAGAAATAAGACCCACCAGCATGAGCCTCACCTGCAGAAACACAAAGCCAAAAGAGTTCCAAGAACAGGAACACCAACAAGCAGCACAACCCAATCCATCAACAACACCCACACCCACACTGCAAATCAACCCAAATGAAGAACTCTGATCTCATAGAAACATGGACCATCCGCCGCGACAATCGGAAGAGACACCGCTACCCACACTGACGATTGGCAAAGATGCAGAGATCAAGCAAGGAGCACAACGGCAGAGGTGCAACAGTGAACGTGATCACCCACGGGGACGACCACACCAAGAAGGAGGAAATCTTCAAAACCGAACCAGCAGAAGCACCCCCAAATTGCATCTTCCGTACCCAAAACAGAGGAACATATCTAGAAAACTAGATTTGAACAAGACACAACATCTCCACCAGGGAGGAATGTGGGAGGAACCACTTAGGAACCGAGATAAAGTCACCAAGGGCTGGAAGAGCCATCGAGGGCTGGAAAATCAGAATAGATCTGCAAAAGTCGAGAAGGGCAAAGGAAATAGGAAAAGCCAGCACTGATCGGAGAGCAAGGAAACCACAAAGGAAATCCGGCGAGTAAGAGAAAGGAAGAAAAAAGAGAGAATTTGAGCCACCGCCGGTCACCAGAGTGGTGTCGGCGGCAGCCCTGTGAAGAAGATGATGGAAAGCTAGAGAGAAGGTGGAGGTTTTGAAAAGGCTGAGAGAATGAGGTTTTGGAGGAGTCCTCAGAAACACAAAGCCAAAAAGAGTTCCAAGAACAGGAACACCAACAAGCAGCACAACCCAATCCATCAACAACAACCCACACCCACACTAAATGATGGTTGTGAAAATCATAATCTCCTGTGATGAGAGATCCCTCCCCACTGTCTAATGATGGAAGAAAGTGATCATTAAGATGTGAAATATTTTTTGAAGGCAAATATAATATTTTTTTGGACTTTGCTATGGTGACATGCATGTCACGGTGACATGCACTTTTCGGTCGACCTCATATAGGATCAGGTCGACCTAATCTGTTGTTTCAGTGTAAAAACAGTTTCATAGTGCCTACTTTGGAGATTCATATCTTACAATTGGCTAGATGGAAATTGGAGATTAAAGGCTTGTTTTGAAGCTGAAGTGTCCCTCTACACATTAAATTACTTGGGAGCTCAATAGAAAGTCCAGAAGACAATTTTTGAACCTGACCAAAAGGCTATGCCAAAACTGGGAAACTGCCTGAAAATGGCTAAGTCTGGCAACGTGTTTGTCAAGCCTACTTTGGAGCTCAATTTGAGAAACATGGATGCGAGTCAAGTCCAGGGGCCTCTACCACGTTAAATTCCGTATTATTTTATACAAAGGCAAGGCATTGGATGAAATATTGAATATCTTTAAGGCTTCAAACAAAAGGCTCGAAGTTGCTACGAAGGCTGTTTTTCTGGCAGCTTGCTTGTGCTCGAAGTCTACCAGAAAACAGCCTTCGTAGCAACTTCGACCCTTTTGTTTGAAGCATTACAGATATCAAATCTTTCATCCAATGCCTTGAATTTGTATAAAAACATACCTAATTTAACGTGGTAGAGACTCCTGGACTCGACTCGCATTCATGCTTCTCGAATTGAGCTCCAAAATAGGCTTCACAAACACGTTTCCAGACTTAGCCATTTCCAGGCAGTTTCCCAGTTTTGGCATAGCCTTTTGATGAGGTTCAAAAATGGTCTTCTGGACTTCCTATCGAGCTCTCAATCACTTCAATATGTAGAGAGACACTCCAGCTTCAAAACAAGTCATTATTCTTCAATTTCCATCTAGCCAATTGTATGATATGAATATCCAAAGTAGGCACCAAGAACTGTTTTTACACTGAAAGAACAGATTAGGTCGACCTGATCCTATATGAGGTCGACCGAATCCTAAATGAGGTCGACCGGATCCTATATGAGGTCGACCGAATTCTAAATGAGGTCGACCTAATCCTAACTGAGGTCGACCGGAAAGTGCAAGTCACCGTGACATGCATGTCACCGTAGGCACACCCTATTTTTTTTATAATTCAACTGGTCAAACGTGTTATTTACCGCTAATTTATAATCCCCTAGGTTGGATTAATCTAATAGCCAGCGATGACGCGGCGACGATTCGATCCGTTAGATTTGTCGGCAGAGCAACTACTTACTGAAGCTGCCATTACCCGCCATTCTCGCTTTCCTTCTTTCTTCATTCAATTTCTCTCCTCATCTCTCACCCTCACAATTCGATCCAGATCACGGCTCTACAGTCTTCACACTCTCTCTTCACTTTAGCTGCTTTTACCCGATCCTAGGCACCAACAGAAGAACGGATGGAAGGCTTGATCAAGGGTTTGGTTAACGTCGCGATTGGCCATGGCGACGATGGCGAACGCGACGAACAGCGCCCCAGATCCTCCTGGGCCGAGGTCTCTCTCTCTCCACCCTCCTCCCTCTTGTATTAGCATTCTCTTCGTTCTTCGCAATCTGTTTTTGAATCCACGAGTTGGTTCTAACTGTTCGGCTGCGTCGACGATCGCAGGTTGTCTCCGGTGAAAATGACGATCAGGAGTCCGGCAGTAGCCATCCTAGCCGCCGACAGCCTTCTCGGCCGACGGATTACTCGGCTTCCGAGGTTGGGCTTCAAATGAATTTTCTTCTCGTTTTTTTGGCGATGTCTTGAGGAGTTTCTGTTAGCTGATTACATCTTGGTGAAAATGGAACTTTTAGGATCATAGGGGAGGAAGGAGAGGTGAGGAATGGGAGTCTGCAGATTCGAATTCTTCGAGACAACCTCAAAAGGTTTCAATTCTAAGATTTCTTCTTTTTCCTTTCTCACGTTCCATTTGATTGCGGTCGTCTTGATCAATATTTCCCTGCTGCTTGCTGTAGTCATTTATAGTATGATGGGGGAATTCGATTAGGTTTAGTGTACGAATTCTTTCCACTTAATGGTGCTAAGAAGTATAAATCTCAAATGTAGGCTGCCTATGAAGGACAAGAAAGTGAAGCCAAGGTTGATCACAGGAGAAACCAGTGGGGAAGAGAGGTTTGTTGATGAAAATTGGTCATCTTAGTGCTTTCAAAAGAATGGCGATTCAGTTTTTTCTGATGGTGATACTATATGTTAACTTGGGTATCAGGAAGAAAGAGAGGACAGTAACGATGGCTGGGAAACTGTTGGCAAGAAGCATCCTAAACAGCCCCACAAGGTATATTCTTGATTGATCAGTCTTCAAATACTTTGAACTTGTATGTTCCCCCTTGATATATGAGGTTCATAAGCTAGAATCTTTTATTTAGTAAAAGTAGTAATTGATAACCTACTGCTTCCACTTGATAGGTGGTGAAGGATAACTGGAATTCATATAAACAAGCTCCATCCGAGCAACAATACTCGGAAGAGTTTGGAGAGAGTTCTGCTTTGGAGCCTACAGAACAGGAACTCTCAGACCTGTCAGCTGCTTGCAACAAACTGTGGGAACTCGATACAAACCGGTTGGTTCCTGACAGGGACTATCAGATTGATTGTGGGGAGGGGAAGAAAGTCTATCAGAAGGATGACATGGCGGAAGGCTGCCTGTTTAGCTGGTTGAGTGATGATGTGTTTAGAAAGCCTACTTATTCTCGTTTTTGCTCACTGCTGGATAACTACAATCCGAATGCCGGGAGTAAAGAGGTTGTCACATCTGAAGAGAGGCAAGAGCAGGCTGGTTTTATCGAAGAAATCAGCAGAACTGCACCTATTAAATACCTCCACAAATATCTTGCTGCAAAGGGTATGGTATCTGGAAATTACCAAGATTTCAAAAGAACTTTGTCCAGCCTATGGTTTGATCTCTACAATCGAGGTGGAACATCTGGTTCCTCATCTGCTTTTGAGCATGTGTTTGTGGGAGAAATCAAGCAGTGTGGGGAACAGCAAGTTTCTGGGTTCCACAACTGGCTTCAGGTGTGCTTTACTCTTCTTTTAGTTTCTTTTTGCGATGTTACTTTTAGTCGTTTCTTCTTATTTTTTAACCTATGGTTTTTTAGTATGTTGAGGTTTCTCCAAGTAGCGTAATATTAGAGACTTTATGGTAAAGGATTTGCATCTATTCAGTTCTAGGAAGAGATTCTTCAGTTCCTTTTCAAGGGATGTTATGATGTTGGATGATGTTATTCATGCCTGAATCGAGTGGCTTGTTCCATAAAAAAACTCGGATTACAGGGCCGAAAGTTGAAGAAGTCCTGAAATTGCTCTAGCGCCCTGTTTGTTAGATCTTCGTGAGTAGTAATAGTAGATTGCCTTGATGAAGTGGTTAATATACTACATACTAGAGTAGAGGTGGAAGAACCATTTTTTGTTATTATAACTCGTTTATAATATACAAATATACTGATAGGGTATTCAATTGTTTGAGCCCCGGCGACTGGGAGTCACTCGGGTCCAAGGGGTTTGGGGCGTCAGACATGACCTTGAGGGGGTAGGCGCCCCGCCTCGTCAGAAGTAAGAAAAGAGAAGAAGTATATAGACAGAGAAAGTAGAGAGAAGTTAGAGTAAGAGTAGATAGATTGCCATTTATGAGGAGAGAACTCCTATTTATACACATCTGAGGGTTAGGTAATGGTCGGGCGCCTTGGCTCAAACATATACAATTGGTGAAAACTTCTCAGTTATCTCTAACTCATGTTGTTTAGTTGTGCAAAATTGGCAATCATAAGCTGTTCTGAATGTTACTTTCGCTTCTGCAGTTCTACCTAGAGGAAGCGAAGGGGAACGTGGATTACCAAGGATATATCTTCCCTCGCCGGCGTGGACAGATTGTAAGTGGTCTCTATTTTATTATTTCTTTTCTTGGTTTCCCAAGATACAACACATGAACATATGAAATCCTTTCTGGTTTCTTGTACCTGCAATGTCAGCTTGCTACTTAGTTCCTAGTACTCCCCATGATCCAGATAAATTCGCTTGCTTGTATAACAAGCAACAGCATTATATTTTGTTACTGATGATGGCTTGGCTTCTACTGCAGCCGGACTCCGAGAGTCAGTTGCTGACAATTCAGTTCGAATGGAACGGAGTTCTAAAGTCTGTGTCCAGCACTTTAATTGGTGCCAGCCCAGAGTTTGAAATGGCCCTCTATACGCTTTGCTTCTACGCCGGAGGAGAAGAGAATCATGTGGAGTTAGGTCCATATTCCGTGAACATAAAATGCTATCGCTTTGGCAACAAACTAGGATCTGCCTTCCCCATGGCCGATTCTTGAAAACCTATTCTTTCGTGTTGTTATTATTGTTTGGATTTAACTGACCTTTCTAGCTACTTGTGTAATGTTACTACTTATTAATGGTGTGTATCAGTGTATATGCACTGCCGACGAACAGAAAGGGCCCATATTCAGATTCAGTACATTAGATCACCATATCAGTAGCAATGGTCCTCTGTAGTGATAAGAAACATCTAGCCATTGGCAACGATGACCAGAAGGAAGGAGTGTAAGAAAACTTGAGTGGTTTGAACTTTGAAGAATTGTTCAGTATGAATGTACTTTTGCTGTGATTGAGAAGAACTATGTATCCATTTGTTTCAGCTGGTTGGAGTCTACAGATTGTTTGTTTGTAGTATCAAATAGGGGATGTTGAAGTGTGATCGGTTAATGTTTTGGAAGATACTCTTTTGTTGTCGTGAGATGGTTTGTTGCGAAATTGGTCACTCAGCTTGGAATTAGAGGTGGCAAATGGATTGGTGGATTATCCATGAATCCAAATGACATCCTTAATCAATGACCAATATGTAAAATGTGAAAAGTTTAGGTACTAAAATGTCATAATGAAAAATTTTAGGTACCAAAACATGATTTTCCAATGATATTTTTCGCATAAAAAATTAAATTTTGGGTAACAAAATGTAAAATATAAAAAGTATAAGTACAAAACTATAATTTGTCATTTGGATCCATGGATCAATCCATGAATCCATCGATCCAATTGGATTTGGATCAAATGGATTGGTATAGGTGAATATTTTTAATGGGTTAGTGGATTGGATTGGTGGATTGGATTGAGAATTGTCACCTCTACTTGGAATCGATCAACTGGTTATAAAAAAGAATAAGAAAAATCCATGGTGCATTATATATTAGGTTAAGTATTAGGCGCGTAAATATGGATTATTGGCACCAATTTATATATACAAAGTAATTTACTCTATAATTGATGATAATTATGTCATTTTATCATAATTAGTAAAATAATCGTAGAATTCATTAGAAAATTTCACCTGAATTGAATTCAAATTTTAGAATCGAAAGTAAAATTCTTTATATTCCAAACACAAAAATAGTGTCTTCAAAATAAATTTGTCAAAATAAAGAGATAAGCTATAAGTTTGACGTGAGAAAAAAGTTGAGTGACCATTTGTAAAAAAGTAAAACTCACTGCCACCGTCTATATTTAAAACGAAAAAAATTGAAACTCACCGCCACCGTGGATTCATCTGGTTCTCCAAGGAGCAGATCCCGAAGCCAAGAAGGAAGCGTAAAGAGGAGAGGGCGGGAATGGGGAAACCCCTCACTCTGGTTCAAACTGTTGCCACCGCAGGAGTCTTCTCCGCCATTTCTTTCTGGTAAGAATATCTCAAACCTTCGGTTTGCTTCTTCTTTGCCGCGCTTCTGTTGCGTCGAATCAATCAAATTTGTTCTCCAGGTACGGTTTCATGTTCGGAAGAGAATCGGCCCGCAAAGAGCTAGGCAACTTGATCGACGAACTCCGCCGCGGCGGCGATTCCTCCTCCTCCGATCCTCCTCAGCATTCTTGATCTGTACGTTTCCGCACGCTTGCAGAAAGTATCGGAGCTACTGATTTCCTTTTTTCATGGCTGAATTTGCCTATTGTCTGATGGCAGTGCTGGAAACATCGACGGTGACTAGGATCGTCTCGCACAGAGCTTCGCTGGATCGACTATCTCCGCTGGCAGTGGTTCCTCCTCCGCAGCCCGCTTCATTCTCCTCCACGTTCGGGATTGGTACGCTTCCGCTTGCTCTCATTGACATATAGAAAGTAGTAAAACTTCCATTGATAATATCTCAAGTTAGAGAACTCGGTTTGTGGATGAATTAGCTTCTTGTCTGATTGTGGGAAAATTTATGGCATTGAGAACTTCTCGAGATATAGGGAAGTTTTAGTGGCTGAGTTACTTAAGAATTGAGTTCAGCATCGAGTCTGCCAGAATTGTTTGTGAGAATGCTCTAGCTTTAGCATAGACTGATGAACATCAGTTGATAAGGAGTTATATTAGTATCCTGCTTGTCTCATCATTTCACTCAAAGTCTGGATAAACACGCCAGGGGTACATGATTGTACAAGTATCATAGTTTTTATTTCTATAGACTAAGGTAAGCTACACGGTTTTGGGAATTGGGACACAGAAAATGGACCAATTATACAAGGAGAATCTCCTTCGTTCTCCTGAGACTCCTGTCCTTGACAAGACCAATGTAGAGGTCACTTCTTAGGGTGTCAGACTCCGGCAATCGCCTGATCCGGCCACCTTCAGACATGCCTTTTACGAACTCCACCATGTGGCGCCAGTTGTCTTCTTCAAACAACCTCTTATTCAATCTTAGGTAAGTAAATGCACTCAATCCACTGCCTGCTGCCGCTGTACCCGTTGCCAAAACTTGTCCAAATGCAGCTTGATCATACCTCTCCAATGCATTCTCACCGGCAAGCTCTGTGCCTGCTGCCTTTGTTGCCATCTTTACTTGGTGGACTAATCCTTCTGGAGAGCAGTTTGCATTTTCTGGCTGCTCACCGTCTCTCATTTCCATGCATGTGAAGTTGAGTGCAACTCCATGTTTGCTGAACATTTGTGCTATTAGTTGGTAACCGTCATGGTTTCTGGTATTGTAGTATCCTGCTGTAAGTTCGGCTGCGTGAGACCTTGTTCTGTAATGCCAATGGATTCCAGCAACTTTTCCTGATAGCTTTGCTCCGGTTCCTTTGAATATCACTTCAGCAGCTGCCAGGATGTTGTCTCCATGCTGTAGTAGCTTGTCAGAGTACCACTCTAGGAAGAACTGTCCATATTCTGAGTTCCATGTCCCGTCCCTCCTGAAGAACTCGGTATCTTCAGGAAACTGATTGTAGCTGCCGGAATCATGGGGTCCATCCTGCCCCCAGGCCTGGTTTCCGAGTTCTTCAGCTGATGCTTTCAGTGAAGCTCTCATATACTGTAGAAGGTAGAAAATTTGTTTAGAGGTCTGTTAAATCTCATAGTCTTAGATTCCTACTTGAGTGCCGTATTCATAACTGTTGCAGGCAGTTGATAAATGGGCGGTGGAATTTGCTTGACAGAAGCTTCAGTAAGTTCATAGTTTGCATAAATTTACCTTGTCGTAGCATTGAAATTCCCCTATTCCCGGAAACTTCCATGTGCCGTTGCTTTCTGGATATGCTGGGTATCTCAGCTCTCCACACGGGCCCATTCCTACTTGGATTTCCTGCAGTAGAAATTTTGTTAGGGAACAGATTAGAGAAAATAACTATCTACTAAAGGGGCAGCATCTTCTCTTAAATGTATAGAAAGTGCTTTCTCGGTTTAACTTACCACAATAACTCCTCCAATGTCATTTCTGAATCTGTTGCGGAAGCTTCTCATGTAATCTGTGTAGACTTGTATTGGTGTTCTACCCCTTAACACAGCCAAGGAGTCACATCCCAAGGAGATGTACTCGGGATTCCTGCGGCCTGCTCTGTCGGTGTAGACAAGGTCCGGGTTCCTGCTTATCTCTTCAAGCACCCAAGGAGGTAGGGGAATGCTAAAATTTCGTTGCAAATAGAGAAAAATGGAAGTTAGTTACTCGTCACTCTTATTTTCCTGAATTACAATCTTTCTGACTGTTAACAACCTGCTAACGAACATGTTAACATTACACTAGACATCAAGTAAGAAAACTCATCTTAGAAGAACAAAACCTGAATTAACTGAGAGAAGTTCCTTTTTCTAACAAGATATTTAAGTAATCTAGGGAGAAGATTCATTTGTATCAGTAGCCTTTATAGGTGGGATATCCCTGTTCTAGATATAAAGCATAATATACGAAAGGATGGAAATCTATAGGGTAACCTCTACTGACTTTCAACCTGAAGTTAGTTACCTGCAAGAATCTCCGACGTTTCCTCCACACTGATGAAAGGACATAACCACTTGAATCTTTAGCCCATGCTGTTTCACCATCTGTACAAGCTCAGCATATCCTTCCCAGTTGTACATTAGAGGTTCATTTTTCTCCACCAAACCCCACCATGCGTCCACCATCACCCCTTCGACTCCTGCTTTCTTTAAGGCCATTAAGCTGGCCTTCATTGCTCGAGGTCTGTTCAGATGTCCCTCGAGTGTCACGGTGTCGAGTGGGAGCATCACAAATACGGGCACCTTGGAGCCGTTGCTGTCATGAGGGCCTGTTGATGGATGCAGTTGCTCCAACTTCTCTAGGCTGTGTTCTTCCCAGAGTTGCGTTGCTTGCATCGAACTCTTGGCCCTCAGGCTTCGCGTAGGCTTAATTTCTGCATAGCAGATCGAGCCTGCGGTGTTGTTGGGTGTTTTGAGGGATCTGGTCTTGGTTTGATTGATGAAGGATGTTGAAGAGCGTAGTGATAGTGCCATGTTTCTTTTCAGCTGTGGGAGGGAAATGAAGGATTGTGGGAATGAATGGAGGGTGGGTGTACTCTTCTTATAGAAGAAAACTAGGCTCTCATACTTTGAATAGTACAAGATTGGTGGGCTCTAGTTTTTGCCATCTTTAGGAGATACTTCTGCTTGCTGTTTGTGGGATCTTTTGGGGCTCCATTCCTTGTGCAAAACCAATATCTTCCAATAAAATCTATTCTTCTAAGAAAAGAAAAGCTTTGGTGGGCTCTAGTTTGAAAGGAGGAAACATTTAAACCATCCAACCGCGTCGGCCGTTCAGTATTCACCTAAAGAATTTCACTTCAGTGAAGTTGACTTGGAGCTAGCAATCCTGCATAATTATCATGCTAACAGCTGTGAAAGAGTGGAGAGTTCTTCTGTGGACAAGGATATTCTTTGCATGAAGAAATATTAGTGCTCTAAATAAATTTGGCAAAATACTAAGTAGCTTGTCAAATGTCAAGTGTCATTAGATGGGTGATTAGCTTCTTTCAACCATTGTGTTATTGAATCCCCCTTCTTACTTTGATAGGCAGATAAAGCTTACAGGGCACAAGAAAAGAAGACTACGTCTTTCACCCCAAGATGGGATGTCTATTGTGTTTGTGTAGTCCAGTCCTGGATCGAACTTAGATCGATAATAAAGGGAAACAAGGACTATAATGCCAGTGAAAGCACATTGGATTCAGTCTGGTCCCTTTTCCTTTGTGTTTTAGAGAATTCATGAAATTAATACTAGTAAAAATCTTGAGTTTGAGAATCGAACGGAATCGAATCATGTTCAGGCCAGTCTAGTTCAATCCAAGTATATAATCGGTTCATTGGTTGCCAACCCTGTACTTGAACAGTGTGGATTTGCATCCAATATTTGTCGAATTACTGAAGAATTTCTAGGGTGAGAAAAGTGGGAATATTCCCCTCCCTCTCTTTCCACCTGCTTGCTTTGGAACATAGGTTTGAAAGAAGTACCATATCTCTTACCCAAAAAAAAAAAAAAGGTTCCATGTCGGTAACCTAGTTAAATGAATGTCCATGTCGGGGGCAGTTTCCTGAACCCCACAAAGACAAGATTGTTGCTCGTTCTATTATGTTGCTTCCTCGTCGGTAATAAATTCTACGGCTGATAGGCTTTTATTTATTTTGAGGACACCTTTTCTTCCCATGGTTGTGGTTTCAGAGCCTTTGGATAATAAGTTAAGAACAGTACTATGTGGGAAGCGTGTGATGTGGCTGTTGTGAGTCAGGTGTTCTCTTCTGCTGGTGTTGGAGTCTTCTCTGTATGCGTTGCTAGGTGAATTTTACAGCGTTTGGTATGGTAATCTAAAAAGCTAATCTTTTGATGGATGATAATGATGTTACTGGAGAAGGAACAAGAGTAGCACAAAGCAGTGTATTGTGAAGAACGTAATTGGGTCCAGTGATGGTGTTATTCGAATAATAAACGAAAATATTCAGGCTTCAGTTGTTAAGTATACAAGTTTTACTGATCTGCTATGTTATATATTTCAATCAGAGATTTCATATTTTACGGCTAGAAACTTGAATTCACCTGTCAGTACGAAATGTCGAAATCTAATCCTGATTTCTTGAGCCGGGCCATTATGAAGATAGTTTGTATGAGTTCTCCTTTGTTCAGATCTACAAGGCTTAATTAGCACTCAAAAGTCTCTCAAGTTCCTAAATAATGAGTAATTGTGTGCCTTCCAGTTCCAAGTGACGTAATTGCTCAGTTTCATGTTAATGGGTCTGCTTTAGACAAGAAAGACATGCATAAAACTGATACTAAATGAGAGACAAAACCCAAAAGAATGAAATCGAAATTAGTATTTAAATAAATATGAGAATTTCAAGTTACAAGGCAATGGAACTTATCATTTGTGAAACCAGTTACTGTTGTCGTTCGTGGAAAAATCGATGCTAGAACTAAGTTTTTTTTTCTTATATATGAATGATGCTAGAACCATTGTATCTGTTGGGCTACTGTTCAGCTTAGAAGGATGAATATATAGCATTATGGTAAACATATTTATTATACATTCCTGATTGTCTCATCTTTCCCAGTCCAAGTATGGAAAAGCATGGGAGTGGTATTATGGTGTTCAAGTAACCATTCGTTTTTCACCAAAGCTAAGCTACATGGTTTACACGAGGAGAATCTCCTTTGTTTTCTCGATGTTCTTCTCGTTCACGAACCCGATGTAAAGATCACTCCCCTGGGTGTCAGACTCTGCTAGTTCCCTATTCTTGCCTCCTTCTGACATGTTTCTTACGAACTCCACCATGTGCCGCCAGTTTTCTTCTTCAAACAGCCTCTTGTTCAATCTCAGGTAAGTGAATGCGCTCAATCCACTGCCAGATGCTGATGTGCTGGTTGCCAAAACCTGTCCATATGCAGCTGGATCATACCTCTCCAATGCATTCTCACCGGCAAGTTCAGTGCCGGCTGCCTGTGTTGCCATCTTCACTTGCTGGACTAATCCTTCCGGCGAGCAGCCTGCATTTTCAGGCTGCTCCCCATCTCTCATTTCCATGCATGTGAAGTTGAGCACAACTCCATGCTTGGCAAACATTTGTGCTATCGGTAGGTAACCATCGCGGTTTCTGGTGTTATAGTATCCTGCTGTGAGTTCTGCTGCGTGAGACCTCGTTTTGTAATGCCAATGGATTCCTGCAACTTTTCCTGACAGCTTTGCCCCAGTTCCTTGGAATATCCCTTCTGCAGCTTCTAAGATGTTTTCACCATGCTGTAGTAGAATTGAAGAGTACCATTCTAGGAAGAACTGCCCATATTCTGTGTTCCATGTCCCTTCCCTCCTGAAGAACCCGGTATCTTCAGGAAATTGATTGTACTCACCGGAATCCTGGGGGCCGTCTATCCCCCAGTCCGGATTTCCTGCTTCTTCAGCAGCTGCTCTGAGTGAGGCTCTCATATACTGTATTACATAGAAAAATGTTTAGGGGAGTCTTAAAACCTCTTGGTTTTATGATTACTACTTGAGCACCACAGTCATTACTGGTACATGCATTTGATATAGGGATTATTAATTATTCAGAGTTAGAAGTTGGATAAATTTTACCTTGTCATAACATTGGAATTCCCCAATTCCTGGGAATCTCCATGCGCCATTGCCTTCTGGGTATGATGGGTATCTCAGTTCTCCACAAGGGCCCATTCCTACTTGAACTTCCTGCAGTAGAAATTTGCATCAACAAAAATGATGTGAAGATATGAATGCTGTTTAATTCGTGTTTCTGAAGAGTGTTCTAAGTGGTGTCTTGTTTATGTTATCAAATTCAGTTTCATTTGCCTGCACATTATCTTTATTGAATAGAACAGGGTATCCTAAAAGGGTATTCTCTTTCTAACTTACCACTATAACATCTCCAAGGTCATCACTGAATCTGTCGCGGAAGCTCCTCATGAAATCTGAGTAGACTTGTATTGGTGTTCTTCCTCTTAGCACAGGCATCGAGTCGCAGCCCAAGGAGATGTACTCAGGATTCCTACGCCCTGATCTGTCAGTGTAAACAAGGTCCGGGTCCTTGCTGATCTCTTCAAGCACCCACGGAGGCAGGGGAATGCTGAAATAACATATCCAAAAGGGAAAAGAAAAGGTTAGTTTCATTACTGTTCCGCCTCATCTTCGTCAAGTTAAGATCTTCCTAATTGCTATCACCTATCAACTCACTGAATGGGTCTGCATGCCACGAACCAATTGGATGGAATTGAGCTGGACCAAATACAATTATATTCGGTTTCAGTTCATTCTCACATTCAACACTAGTTTTGTTTGGTTCGATTCCATGGATCTTCGTAAAGATCAGGGGGAGAAAAAGCGAACTGAATCGGATTAGATGCTCTCTGAGTCCGATTCCAGTTCTCATTTCCACTTTAGTTTTGACCCCATCCTATACCTATTAGTCTGATTCCAGATCAGACCGAATCATGCAGTGTATGCTAGACACAGAGTAGTAGTTCATAATTCGTATACCCTATAGGCTTATAAGTTATAACAACAAACCAAATGCTCAAGCATGCTAGAGAAAGGGATTTATTTTTCTGTATAATAGCATGGATAGGCATATCAAGGACTAGAGAACTAAGATTAAAGTTCCCCCAAAAACGATTGAAGCTCTTCTTTAAGTTTATTTAGTCACCTACCTGCAAGAATCCCCAACATTTCCACCGCACTGATGGAACGACATGACCATCTGAATCTTCAGACCATGGCGCTTCGCCATCTCCACAAGCTCAGCATAGCCTTCCCAGTTGTACCGTAGGGGTCCATCTTTCTCCACCAACCCCCACCAGGCGTCCACCATCACCCCTTCCACCCCTGCGCTCTTCAACGCCATCAAGCTGGCGTTCATGGCGCGGGGCTTGTGTAGTTTCCCCCCTTGTGTCACCGTGTCGAGCGGGAGCATCACAAATACAGGCACCTTGGAGCTGTTCCCGTCATCGTGAGGACCTGATAACGGGTGCAGCTTCTCCGCCCACTTTGCGCCTCTGCTCTCTTCCAGAAAGTAGTCCCTTGTTGCTAGGCTGTTGTGCTGCTCCAAGAGGTCTGCTGCTAGAGCCGGACCCTTGGCTGCTCTGGGGCTCAGGGTGGGCTTGATCTGTGGATAGCTGATTGAGCCGATGATGTCGTCGGTTGCTTTTCTAGGGGATTTGGGTTCCTTTAGGTTGATCACAGAAGGAGTGTTCAGAGCCATGTTTGCTTCTTCTTCTTCTTTCTTTTTTCAGTGTGTTTGTTGTATCAACTGGTGAATGAGGTGAATGAATGAAGGATTGTGTGTGGGGAATGAAAATGGAGGGAATGAAGGACGGTGGGTTGGCTTTTCTTATTATAAAGGGAAAACAGGGGGGGTTTCAAATTTGCATAGGGACAAGATTGGTGGGGCTCTTACTTTGAAGGAGAAAACGTGCAAGAGATGAAAACTTGCTTACTTTCCCATGTGATTTACAGTTTGGATTTCAGCTTCTTTTCACCGTGAATTGAAATAGGGATGGCATTTACCAGCGAGCGGAAAGATATGAACCGTCAACTACCACTTCATTATTGAGATATAAGATAAGTAAAAAAAAATGGAAAATTAGGAGAGCCACGCGTTATGGTCAGTTAACAATGGGGGACCGTGACTATTATGGTGGCTCTGGATGTTTCCTTCCATGGCGGTTCATGCACATGTAAGTCGGTATGTGATGCCAGGTGGTGGAAGCAGAGAAGAAGAGAGGAAACAGTAGTGTGATGGGTGAAGTAGGGAGAAACGAATGAATAAGATAAGTATTTACTGTTTTGGGTTGTGTGTGTAGGTTTTGTTTTCGGATTTAAGCTGGATATATGGATTTGAGGTACGGGTAGTGGGTCGACTCATTTTTTCGGTATTTTGGATTTGTTTGTAAAGTTTAAAAAGTTTAGATGTCATACTGTAAGAAAAGAAAATTTCAGATGCTAAATTGTACATCGTTCATCAAAAGTTTTTAGACCTATATGTGAAAAAAATGTAAACATGAGATACCACTTAGTAAAAGGTGCACATTGAATGGGTTTGGGACTTTGGGTAGAAAAAACACATCTATTGTTTAATTTTTTATTAATCAGGGTGATGATATAGGTTTGATTTTATTGTTATATCTTATATGTTACTTAAAGATTAACTCTGAGACTTTCAGGTTGAAGATCAACGAATAATTCGCTAAATCAGTTCCTGTTGGTTAAAAATTAAATGAATGTGGTTATTTATTCCTTATACATCCATTTAAGCTGGACTTGGGTTCTTAGTTCTAACATTAACTGGTCAGGGTGGATACGGGTGAAACCATCATTCCTCTTTGGAACCATGTAGGCAATGATGCATTGGATGCTGAGTTGCCAGATTATCAATTTTGAGGTACGCGATCATGGCCTTGTGAAGTTTAACTCCATTATCATTAGATCAACTCATTGGAATTTGTCAATTTGTTTTACAATGCAATTTATGCAATGCATTGTGGACTATGAAAATTAGTGCCTGTTACTTTGGTAAATAGCCTTTCTATTTCTAACTAATGGAATAGTTATAGAGCTTATCAAGTAGTTTTGAGTGATAGATCTTGATATATGAAATTGGTCAATGGTACTTTATGTTTTGCTTAAGATATTCATGTCTGCCCTCTCATTTAAATATTAATTTAACCCCTGGAGGGGTTGCTGATCTTTTCATCACCAGAATGTGGGGCGAAAAAACCAACCCCACAGAGCAAGTTTGCTTCTAATTTAGTTTAGGGGCTCATATGCGCTTTTTCATTGCGTCCCTGGCGCCTAAATTTCCTCAACCCCACAAATATAGCAGTATTCTATGACTGCTAGTAACACCACCCGCTGAGGACACATGGGCGGTATTCATCAGCCATTGCGATAAGAAAATTTGTTGGGCGGTTGGTTTTCTTCATAAGTCTGAAAGCTGTGTGGTGTTGCTTTTCCGAGGTCTTCCCTTTTGATACGGCACTGCACTGCACCGCACCGCCCACCACTCTCATCATCCTATCCATCACCGTCCATCTCCCAAGCTGTTTATTGTATTATAGTATCGTTATGTTGTAGTTACCGTAATCGGGTACTCGGCAGATGGGTTTGCATGGGGATGGATGGGGAAGCATTTTCCGGGGACAGTTAATTGGTGATTAGTTCGTTTCAACAACGTGTTATTAAACCGCCATTGTTTTAGGATGGGGAAGCAGGTTAAGATCATAACTGTTACCATAACGAGTTTAGGACTTGGGCAGTGGAGTGGCAGTTGTGGGTTTTCAGGGTTTTGGGATTTTTTTTTATATATTTGTGTTTGAATTTCAAGTTTTACATGGAATGAACGATGAAAAGTATTTTATCGAGTATTGTTGTTTGCTTTGATAAGAGTATCGTAAATTTAATGTATAGAAGTAAAGTCGTGTTTTTGCATAAATGGACCCTCTCCTTTTAGATTTTTGTGTTGCTTGGTGAATCTTACAGGATTAGTATGCCTTAACCTAAATGTTAACATTTAGGTGAATGATAAATACTATCGGAAAATATTAGGAAAGGCATACTCCATTGACTTCCTAGGTACAACTGTACAAGTATGAGAGGTTTCTTTTTGGGTGTGCGACGTTCCTTTTTAGGTGAATTAGGGGTTTGATCCTGTTGGCCCTAAATTTCAAACTTAGTTGGGTCGGATATCTGCCATCCTCATTCACACAATAGCTCATTTCAGATGCTTTATTTACAATGCAGTTGTTTTGGATCTTCAATGTCTTAAAATAGTTCTTGAATGTGTATAATTAGCTTTGGATCTTCAATTTGGTTAGACGAGGTTCAAGCTTGTCGTTTACTAGCATTGGTGAAAAATCGATGATGATAATGATGATGGTGAGAACTTTAAAAATTTAGGGAAGTTTAGTGGTTTAATTGCTTGAAAACTGAGTGAACCATCTTATCTGCAATGCTACTCACTGATGTAAATTTAGAGGGATGAAGAAACAGTATTATGAGAAGCACATTTATACATTCCTGATTGTCTCATCTTTTCCAGTCATAAAGTTGGGAAAACATGGCAGGAGTATTATGGTGTACAAGTCATCATAAATCTTTATTTTGTACACTAATAAGCTAAGCTACGTGGCTTATACAAGTAGAGTTTCCTTCGTTTTCCTGACATTCTTCTCCGTGATCAAACCAATGTAGAGATCACTCCTCTGGGTATCGGACTCTGCCAATCTCCTCCTATTCCTGCCTCCTTCGGACATGCTTCTTACAAATTCCACCAAGTGCCGCCAGTTTCCTTCTTCGAACAACCTCTTATTCAATCTCAGGTAAGTGAAAGCACTCAACCCACTGCCTGAAGCTGATGTACTGGTAGCCAAAACTTGTCTGTATGCAGCTGCATCATACCTCTCCAGTGCATTCTCACCGGCAAGTTCTATGCCGGCTGCCTTGGTTGCAATCTTCACTTGCTGGACCAATCCTTCCGGCGAGCAGTTTGCATTTTCAGGCTGCTCGCCGTCTCTCATTTCCATGCATGTGAAGTTGAACACAACTCCGTGCTTGCTGAACATTTGTGCTATTGGTTGGTAACCGTCGTGGTGTCTAGTGTTGTAGTATCCTGCTGTGAGCTCTGCTGCATGAGACCTTGTTTTGTAATGCCAATGGATTCCTGCAACTTTTCCTGATAGCTTTGCTCCGGTTCCTTTGAATATCCCTTCTGCAGCGGCTAGGAGGCTGTTGCCATGTTGTAGTAGCTTTGAAGAGTACCACTCTAGAAAGAACCGGCCATATTCTGTGTTCCATGTCCCTTCCCGCCTGAAGAACCCAGTATCGTCAGGGAATTGATTGTACTGGCCAGAATCATGGGGGCCGCCTTGCCCCCAGTCCTGGTTTCCTGCTTCTTGAGCTGATGCTTTGAGTGAAGCTCTCATATACTGTAGTACATATAAAAGTTGTTTAGGGGAATGTTAAAATTTCTTAGCTTTATACTTACTACTTGAGCACCAGAGTCATCAATGATAAATGCAGTTAGTATAGGGATTATTCAGATGAGTTGGAAGTTGCAGAAACTTTACCTTGTCATAACATTGGAATTCCCCAATTCCTGGGAATCTCCATGTGCCATTGCTTTCTGGGTATGCTGGGTATCTCAGCTCTCCACAAGGGCCCATTCCCACTTGAACTTCCTGCAGTAGAAATTTGGTTAGCACAAGTACTTTAGGGGTTTAATAATAGCATGATTGGTCTTATTTGTGTTTCAGTGTTAGTTTCATTTGCCGGCATATTTTATTTACTGAGTAGAGCAGAGTATCCTAAAGTGTTTTCTTGTTCTAACTTACCACAATAACTTCTCCAAGGTCATCACTGAATCTGTTGCGGAAGCTTCTCATGAAATCTGTGTAGACTTGTATTGGTGTTCTTCCTCTTAGCACAGCCATCGAGTCGCAGCCCAAGGAGATGTACTCGGGATTCCTACGTCCTGATCTGTCGGTGTAGACAAGGTCCGGGTTCTTGCTGATCTCTTCAAGCACCCATGGAGGTAGGGGAATGCTGAAATTCCATTTCCAAAAGGAAAAAAAAAGTTTAGTTTAGTTACCCTTCAGCCTCATTTCCTCATCTAAAATCTTCTAATTGTTATCAACTCATTGAATGAGTGGATGACGATTTCGTCTACACTTGACCGAATTGACATTCCAATTGAATTGGATCCAATCCAGGTATAAATTGGTCTGGCTTTGGTTCTCATGTTTAAGACTTCTTGTTTCTGTTTTGATACTCTCATGAAGAACATGGGAAAAAGCAGACTGAATCAGATCCAATGCTCTTTGGATCCAAATCAGGTCCTCATTTTTCTTTATTTGACTTTGTTCTACATCGATTCGGCCTGATTCTAGATCAGACCGAATAAACCATGTCCCCTATACCAATTTGGTCAGATTCTAGACATTAAATATAAAATATGTCATTTTGACAATAAACGAATTCACTTATTCTAGATCTATTCTGGCTTAGTACCCTGTAATGGTACTAGTGGGTGTCCTTTTCTATAGAGATAAGGCATATCAAGGATGAAAGGACTAAGATTAAAGTTGCCTAAAACGACTTCAATTTCAACCTTAAGCAAGTTACCTGCAAGAATCTCCAACATTTCCTCCGCACTGATGAAACGACATGACCACTTGAATCTTCAGGCCATGGTGTTTCACCATCTGCACAAGCTCAGCATAGCCTTCCCAGTTGTACCGTAGGGGTCCGTCTTTCTCCACCAATCCCCACCATGCGTCCACCATAACTCCTTCCACTCCTGCGCTCTTCAACGCCATTAAGCTGGCGTTCATCGCTCGTGGTTTGTTCAGGTTCCCCCCATGTGTCACCGTGTCGAGGGGGAGCATCACGAATACAGGCACCTTGGAGCTGTTGCTGCCATCATGAGGACCTGACAATGGGTGCAGTTTCTCCCACTTCTCGGCTAAGCTCCCCACCTTGATGAGGCTGTGGTGCTCCAAGACGTGCGATGCTTGCACCGAACTCTTGGCCACGAGGCTGAAGGTTGGCTTAATCTGTGCATAGCAGATTGAGCCGACGACTTCGTCGGCTGTTTTGAAGGATTTGGTGTCCTTTAGATTGATGAAGGATGTTGAAGAACGGAGAGTTAGAGTCATGTTTTCTTTCTCAGTTTTTTTGTATTGAGTTCTGATGAAGGAACGAAGGGTTGTGGGAACAAATGGAGCCTGGGTGTGCTCTTTTTATAAAGGAAAACCGGAGTTCAAACTTTGTGTGGGACAGTACTGGTGGGCTCTAGTTTGAAGGAGAAAAAGTGCAAAAGATCAAAACTAGTCGGCCCCCCTGCTTTTCCATGTACTTTCCATTTCCAGTTTGGATTTCATTTTTTCTCCCCCCTGAATTCAATTTAACTAGCTTTTTAGCCCGCGCTCTGCGGCGGAAAGACACTTTAATCTTAGTGAAGGTAGACGTTATTTTTTCGTTGGTTTTATAATTTGTTCCAGCTTGTTTAGTTTTTTTAGTGTCTATGTATATTGTTTATCTTTCTAATGATCTATAAGTTATCATGTATTTCAATTTTGTTGCTCCTTTACTATACTGGGCAATTTTCGTGTACGTAGTTGCAACCAAGAACAAAAAGACCACTGATTCATAAACAACAAAGAGAATTGGAGGACCAATTAATATATCTAAAGTAAGTAACATGGGGCCAACGCAATTCATGAGGTCCTAGTCCTACTGGTGCTCTTTTAATTATCCGAGAACCTGTGAAGTTAGTGAGCAGTTAAGAAAATAGAACAGGGGCTCTGTAGTAGAGGTGGTATTGTGTAATTTGTATTATTAATTAATAAAATTATTTTACCATTACAAAAGAAAAGGAAATGTAACATGGGCTCTCAAATCTAATACTACTTTTGCATACGGGAAGAGCAAAACTCCCAAGGGCAACATTATTGATTCAGAAGATGTTATATTGTCAATTTTGAATTTGAATTAAGCGGAACATAAAAGGAATTATACAACCAACTACCAAACACATTTGAATGAGGAGGCAGACGCAGACTACAAAGTCTTTAGGATTAAATAATCAAAACTGCATATCAATCCTATCTCGTGTAGTCAAAATTTAAGCAAATAGGTAGAATTAGAAGCAGGGGAATCAAAGGGCAAGACTCCATCTCCATTAAAATTAGTTCGTCCTCAAACGCAAAGGAAGTTAAGAGGGCAGGGTGAACTACTTCAACAACTGTACGTTATTGTTGCAGCAAAGAAGAAATCTTTTTAGTTAATGGGTGAAAAGAATATACTACGGCCATCTAAAGCACATGTGGCAAGCAAGTTGTTGTGAGTTCTTCAAATCAAAGATCAGGTGTGTTAGCAAAGAACAAAGAATAAACAAATTTACATGAGAATGCCTAGTAAAGCTGCAAAGAAACATAGAATATCTTCCCCCAAGAAAAGAGGAGCCGAACAACAGCGATGTCATTGTCACCAAAGGAAGACCCAACTAACATGACATTTAGTGGTTAAACATAGTACTGCAACACATTGGAGCGTTAATACTCATCTTAAATAATGATCTATGATTACTACTAATTGAAACAAACGTGACCATCACATTCTGGTGACATTGATATGCAGTGATCTGTGAAATAAATAATCTACACAATGACAGGAATGGAGGGTAGGGTAGGGTAGGCTAGGCAAAGTGCATAATAGCATCATAAATCAAAAACATATGTACTGAACTTATGAGCTTTCAGCAAAACCTTGACAGGGAGGAACTTCAATCCTTTGGTTCTGCTAATTACCCTTTTCCCAACAGTCTGGTTAATGAAGAAGAGTTGTCGATCCTAAATGGATGTTGTGTCCTTGATCCTTCAAAAGCTTAGATTGACACTAAACTTCCTATATAATTGAGTGAAAGTGCATTTAGTCAAGACAGTTGGAGAATCATTGTAAAGAAAGACAATTTTGATAAAGCAAGTCAAAGGATAGACACAGTAGCATACAACAACAACGCACTTTTATAGGGAAACCAATTCAAATCACCTATGCATAGTAATTTAAGAGAACTATGGCAGAGAAGTTATGAAAAACCCAATTTTGGTCTTGCTCTGTCAGAAAGAAACGGTTGTCTAGTTTTTGAAAGGTCGATAGTCAAGAACAAATGCAATGTCATGCCCTATTCAAGTTTTGATATTTCAATTGAAGTCGTGAATACCCAAGTCAATGCACATCAAACACCAAAACTCAATACATGAAACAACACTGACCTCCGATTATTTCTCCTTTTGAAGTAATATCTCAGTGTTGCAGAAGATGGAGCGAGAAGAACACCCTAGCCCTTCCGAAAGCAAATCCAAGCTCACCTTTCCTCCTCCTTTACAGACCATCCGAAATTACGCTATCGCCTTTATTTTCCAAATCCTCCATCGACGCAACCTTTTCCTTGCAGACCCCTGAGATCGAACGCCTCTAAGATCTATCCTTTGTTCGGATCCGATAACCCGAGCCATGATATCCTGGTTCCTCTTTCTCTAAGTCGTCTAATCTGCCATAGTGCTATATCATTTGAGAAGTATCACACACGGCCGGACTCAACAACTGCGACTTCAATCGCATTCAACCTGGTACTTCAATTGGAAAACTACACCTAGTAACCATGGCCTCATCGGCGACAGCACCTTCAGAGAGGAAGTCTGTGCAATGATCTCTTCCCTCTGAAGCGTGTGGTCTGTCTTCTTCTTGTTGGTCTTACTTGCTCTTCTTCTTCTCCATTGGACTGGGCAAGCTCTTCTTCTTCTCCATCGTATTGGGCATCCTAAGAGGAAACAAATCTTTTTCTGGGTTTTTTTTTTTTTTTTTTGTTCACAATAGGGAAAGAGAGTGAATGGGGAAAAGAAGAGGAGAGAGGGGGACACACGGAAAAAGAGAAGGGTATTAGTTTTTTTTTAGTGAAATAGTGGTATTGGCTGGGTGTGGTTGTTTGTATGTAAACCTAATGGCCACGCTTGCCCTACCCAACCTTTTGAACTCGGGCTCATTTAAAAACGGCTGCAGCAGATTCCAAAACCCCTTGGTGAACAGTGATCTCCGAAAATTTCTTAATGAACAGTACCCGAAATTTGTGCAAACTTGGGACTTAATAATTCTAATTTATTTAGTGAAGCTGACCTGCAACAGATATGTATTCCTTTTTAATTTATCCAGACTAACTGCATATAGAAGGGCAAGCATTAGACACTTGGATCAACAGTAAAGGCATTGGCAGCTGAGGTGCCAGATTTGCAGTTTTGGGGTACGTAATCTTGGTCTCAATCTTCGAATTCGTAGTTAATTTGTTGCTTATCTACGTTATCATTAAATCAACCTGTTGGAGTTTATTTTTCGATGCAATTTATGCTCTGTCGACCATGAATTCGTGTGCATGCTACAGATTGTTGATTAGAATGGACTTGGCTTGAGCTTCTGAAGTAGTTTTGAGTAATAAATCTTGATATATGTGAATTGGCAGTGCTTCATGTTTTCCTTGAGCTGATTCATGTTTGTCCTCTCATCAAATTATTGAACCTGGAGGAGGTCTCTGTACACAGTACAGCAAGTGGTGCTGGAGCTTGCGTGGCAGATTTTTTCAGCACCACAATGTGGGGAAACCCCACAGAACAAGTTGCTTCTTATTTACGGGATATATGCGCTTTTTTATTGCTTCCCTTAAATGAATTCCCATGTTAGAGTCCTCCCGCCACAATTTCCTGAACCCCACAAAGAATAGCAGTATTAGTCTGTTCTTTCCTTTTTCATCGCCACCTCGTTGCTAATAATATCTGTGGCTGCTAATCGTGATGATTTTCTTCCAATTTTCCACAGAAAATTTCCTTTTTTCTTTTCTTTTCATGGTTGTGGTTTTTAAGGCTTTGGATAAGAATTGCTTGGGGGGTTTTGGTTTCCTTCAAAGTCATAAAGTGTGTGGTGTTGCTTTTTCTAAGGTCTTCCCTATAGTTGTTGTTGCTGATGATGTCTAAAGTCTTCTTCTCTGTGTATGTATTCTCTATGTATGTATTGTTGTGTTGCTTGGTGAGTTTACACAAAGCATTAGTATGCCTGAACTTAGAAGTGTTAATATTTAGGTGAATGATGAATGAATGCTATTGGGAAAGAACAGGAAACATGACCAATGTGTCTTCTCTTTTGGACGTTCAATGAGCCTCGTAGATGGGCAGGGCAGCCTGTGCTGAGGAATTGTTTTCGAATCGATAGAGGAACCAATAGCCGAATTAGATACTTACCATGTCTGTCTACTCCAAGTTTTAAACCTAGACGCCCGCATGTATATGTTATATGTCACCCTCCTTCCCACATTATTGCACTTCACTTCAGATGCTGTTTTGACATTTGCTGTGAATTCTTACTTTTTACTGCATTTGTCATGTTGATGATCACTATGACGTGTCTTTCGTGTTATCCTCTTCTCTTCTTCTTATCTACTTCATAACAACTCTTCATCACCCGGACATGCCCTTTCAAATCGCATCTTGTCGCGTAATCTCCTCGTTTGATTCTGAATTGCCAATTGCTGCTTCCTTGCAAGTCATTTTTAGCAATGATGTTACACTGTAACCACTGACGTGAAAATTGCTGCCTGGTTGGTAAGTGATAGACGACCATTGCCCAAAAATTGTTAGCCAAGAGGAAGTATATTCAAAGTTCGCTGCATTTTGTGGGGACAGGTGTGATAGGCAAAAGTGCCGACGAATCTCTTTCCTTGCCTCGTCAGTGTCGATGATACTTGGTTTGGCTTTATACTGAACTGAAGAGTACATATGCTCTCTATTATAGCTTGGCTGCCAATTTTCGTGATTTTTATGTGGCTTACATGGAAACCTTATCCATAAAGTCTCCCCTGCTAGCTGGTTTGGTGGAAGTATTTGTCCTTGTATTTCTAGGACAGCTTGTTTGTTATTTATCCCCAAATATTAGGCAGTTCATTTCTTAACATGTTTTCCACTTTTCCTATATTGAATGTTCCTTGAATTTCTATTACTATTGTGCTTCTGTGAAAATGTCTTTCTGGGTGAATTGCTGAATCAACATCAGCCTGCTTCAGTTGCCTATAAGTTTGTGTACTACATGAATGCAATCTGGCTATGGCCAGAGTGCCCCTCGCGGTATCCCTGCGCAGAACACGCAGGGACCGTTCGATTTGAGGTTGTACCTTTCGTGATATTTTGTCGAGTTATTGGGATCAACTGGTTCTTGACATGGTATCAGAGTCTTCTGTGACCGAGAGGTCTTGTGTTCGATTCCCGGTGACCCCCATTTGTTAAGCACATGGTATTCTTGTCTTCAGACCTGTGCAAACTTCAAGCCCTTGTGAGTGGCTTTCGTTTGAGGGGGCGTGTTAGTGTTGTGATATATGATCCACGATTGAACCTCTCCCAACAACTCGAGTTATTGGGGTCAACTGGTTCTTGACATAACGCTCGATCTTCCGATGACTTTGAATGACAGACGTGGAATGTTTTGAGATCCCCAAATCTCTCTTTTCCTTTGCTACCACGTGGGACTGTTAAGGGTGATTGTTACCGGTTGTCCCGTTGATGAGGAATTGAGAATCATCCATCTCCATCTCGCCTATTGATGACAACTTCCAGTGGTAATATTAACTGAGAGAGTGCCCCATATTTGATGGGTACAGGAATAGCATATTAGCTATAGCTTCTTCAAGGCCAAATGATCGGTATGGAGTGGCTGAAAGGAGGGATTCGGGAACTAGTTTCCATTTCTTGCCAAAACTTGGCCCAGTTAATTGGTCATCAATCAGTAATTGTCTTGTTGCCATTGTATTATTTGGGAGGTAGCACATAAAAGAGTCGATCGACAGCCATTTTCCATGGCTGTTGTGATTGTGGAAACGTAGACGCTCCCCACGCCACATGGAAAGAAGACCGACGCGGTTCTAAAATGGTTTACGTTGGTTGTGAAATCCTACTAATTGAGTTGCAGATAGAGGAGATTGTCGGTATGTCTTTCTTAGAGTTGAAGTGTACAAATTATAAACAGTCCCCAACGTAGGTGCGGGAACTACTATCAATCTTCACGTGTATATTTTTAGGTTGACCGCGGTTTATGATAGTTACTACTTTTCGTCATTAAAGATGTGTAACAATTGCATCATCTTCGTATGTGACCTTTGTAAGTGTAAAAAGTAAATGGAACATGCGTATATATTGTCTAATCATCAAGCTGAGGCAGCACGCTGGTAGGTCATTGAAACCAACACGTTGCGTTCGCAAATTCAGTACTTTCATTGTTGGTGTTTTGACGAAATTTTTTTATGGTCATCGACATGACTGTTAGCTCGAACTTGACTAATCTCACCCGTTTCCAAAATATTAACGTGTGGTAGTCTCCGATGGACATTCCAATATCCTCTGTCGTCAAGAAAAGTGCATCCCCTAGAAAAGATTTGTGTAGTGTCAATGTAAAGAGTCCACGTCGAGTGTGGTATGCAAATGCAACCAGATTGCATCTGGGGTGAAATGTGTAGTTTGCGCATCTGTATCCCCAATAAAATATCTGTCCTGCAGATATTTTTCCCACCTGATATTTTCCTTTCCAATTTTGGCTGTCTGAATCAGCTCCACGCGGTGTGATATTTTCCAATGTCATCTTCCTTTCAAGATCCCCTGATGCCATGGACGATTCTTTCGTGCCCATTGCCTCGCTTCAAAATTGGCATTGTAGGTAGGGATCATCTAAGTGAAAATATCCAACTTCAAGAAATTTGATAAGCTGAATCTCAGGTTATTATTAGCTCTCCGAGGAGTCTGTAATCTGTATAGATGGATCATCTTTTGCCCACCAAACTTCTTACTATCGTGCTCCTGTGACCCAAAGTATTGGAGTGTCTTTGCTTGCGAGTTACGACTTAGAAATCATTCATTATTGCATTTATCAATTTGTGCTTTCCACTCAAATTTTGTGGTTTGAGTTCCATCAAAACCCGAAAAATAATGGAAGCAAATCAAAATCAAACTAAATTCAATAAAATTGAACGAACAAGGGTTTGGTCTAGTCGTAATACCACTAACTTTGAACCTGGAGATTTCAGGTTCGATCCCTTAAGTAGTACCTAATTACAAAAGTAAACCTATATCACCCTTATCTAAATTCAATAAAATTGAGTGTGCTTCAGAATTTATTATTTTCTGGATTTGGATCCAACTCAATATTAATTTGGGCCTGATTTATGAATATCGAATCATTGTTAGTAAATACTCCATTTAATACACGTATATATCGAATCATAGTTAGTAAATACTCCGTTTAATACACATATATGTACCCGTACGTACTTTATCCGTTTAAAACTCCTGTATCCGTATTATTGTTAAGTCATTTTATTTGGTTTCCGTTCATTTGACGGCTCCAGTACTAAACACGTTTAATATTCGTATTTAATCAATTAAATTATTAGTTTTACTATTTTTTATATATCTATATATTTTTAAAAATAATGAATTTTATATATTTATGACTATTAACGTACTATTAAATGTAACATTAGCTTAAAGCCGAAGTATAATATTTGTACGTATTTTATACGTAACTTTCTCATACCGTATTTTACTAACTACGTATCGAATCATTAGTTAATGCTCTATTCACAAAAGAAGGGGAGAAATTTGGGGAGGGGAAAGAAATTTTGGAGGGAGAAATAATGAGGGGAAAGTGGTGCTCAATTTTGAAAGAAAAAAGGAAGGGAGAAAAAGAAAAAAGAAACTTAATAAGAGACAATAATTATTTTCACCTCAAATTAAGGTTCAACTGCTACAATAGTTTTCCTCTATAATAATCATTCCTTTGTACTATAGCAAAACTTATGAAAAGAGAAAAATGTCTGAATCCCTCCATTTTCTCCCAATTTTCCCCTCATCCTCTATTTTTTCTCTTTCATGAACAGAGGGTAAATCTTGTTAGCTCAAAGTGAAATTAAAGAGCATAACTAGTCTCCAATTAGGAATGGAAATGAGTCAATCGTTGGGTAATTTGACATAATTGTCATGACTCATATGGGTATTGGACCGGCCCAAATGAACCCATATGCATTTTATGGGTTTGCATTAGGTTTGAATTGTGTTTAATTTGGATCATACACAAATGAGTCTATTTGGGTCCAGATGATTATACACGCAAAAATACAATTTCGACAATCTCATTAACGACCTTCACTATAGTTACATCTTTAATATTGATGTTTTCACCTTTTTGTTTGTTTCATATTTATTTTCTTTAAGGTACCATGAGTGCATATTAGACTAAACTAAAATATTACATATGGATCTCCAAAGTTAAAATTATCCAAACTAATTTGACTCCTAATAAATTATGTTGGGACACTATCCAAATATTAGAAAAAAACATTTCATCCGTACTAATGGCTCTATAGAAGAAGAGAGGAATGTGTCATAATTAGTTGTCTGCTCTAGCCCCAAGCTTCCCTTTTGAGCCTGTACCCATATGTAACGCTGTTTAGGCCTACAAGAATGTTTGTTGAATTCGGGCATCGCTCGTGATATTACAAACCCAATCCAACTAAGGCCCATTCCTGCCCCTCCCCGCAAGCAAAGTATTTTACTCGTCGCCTGTCTTTCGAGTTCTGAATAGGGTGGAAATCGGTACGATATCGGTATTCCAATACCGAATACCGAATTACACCCTAAATCCAATCTCAATCCCAATTTCTAAATAATTTTGGTATCTCAATCAATACCTCGGTATCCCAATCGGCATTATCGAATACATAATTAATTACCTTTGCAATTAATAATTAAATATATAAATTAGATTTTATTTTTTAATTTAGGGCAAAGAGACTAAGCGAATAGTCTTGAGTTACCTAGAGCTAACATCTCAAGTTCTTGTAATTGGTAATCTTTAATTTGACGAATTTAAGGTTGAAAGACGACTAATATTAGTGTGAAATAGTGATGTAATGATCTATTAATAATTAAATGACACTTTTGGTGGTTGAGGGTCACGTAGTAGTGAATGAGATAGTCTAGTTGAGAGGATAAAATACACACTAGCTTATATTTCGGTATTGATCGGTATTTTGGTATATATCGATCTCAATCCCGTAATCCCTAATACCGAATAACAATTCAATTCCAATCCCAATTCCAATCCCACAAAATAATACGTGTATTCGGTAATACCAAATATAGACAAATTCGGTACGATATTCGGTATATCCCAAATACCGATACCAAACTTCCTGCCGTAGTTCTGAGTGCCAAAAGCCCAAAAGACCCAAATTTGATTATTCTTTTGTGGACGGTGAAGGCGTTCCTAATGTCATTGGCCATATATGTCAATAGAAATGTGTATATGTGAATAAGCACATCTGGTTCTCATGATTTTGATATGTTACTGCATGATTTCGGTACTATATGGTTGTATCATATTTTGCACCATTTATCTAACCATTAGACGAGAGAAAGACATGATAATTTTCGAATATGAAAGAGAAATAAACGATAACGTTAAATTATTATATTTTTTAATCATGTGACAAGCTTACTTCATGCAATCATATGTTGTATGTAAATATTTTCTTTCTCTATCAAACAAATTAAACATGAGTAATAAAAAATTGAGACTTGTAAATGATCAAAATCTATGATAGCTAAATTTATCTTGCATGTCCTCTCTTTTGTGAACAACTGACTTTCGAAATAGACCGTTACCAACGGGCAAAGTGACCTCAGCTTACCTCACATTGAGAGTTCAAATGCTTCAAACCCTCTCTTGTTCACTTGCATGTGGGACGGTACAACAAGGAATGGATCACACTTAGCGGGAGGAATGGTTATAAAAGATCAAAGTGGGTTGATTGTCTTGACTAGGGAATTTTATATCGATAATATTGATGACTTACCAATAGTAGAGCTATTAGTCCTCCGCGAAGCCATCTAGTGGTGTATGCATTGTGGTCTTTCGCAGGTTCGTTTTGAAGGGGACGCGAAGGTGGTCATTGACAAGATAAACCAGGTTGATAAATATGATAATCATTCTCGAGGAAGTTCTTTGTTTGTTGGCAATTCATAATGATCTTAATGTACAATTTGTAGGTCGGAATATCAATAGGATAGCACATTTTGTGGCTAAAAAGACCATTTCTTTGTACTCGACTACATATCGCTCTTTTGATTTTCTATCTTGATTGTATAACATAGTGTAATGTGTTTGATATTTGGAAATCGCTTTCTTTAAGGCACGTGTGATGTGTCTTAAGTTGGTCTTGAGCTAACTTTCCAAATTCCAATTCCACAGCCATGACCCATGATCCCCCAAAAGAAAACCTTACTTTATTGATTAATAATGGGTAGTTATCATAAATGGTCACAAATCTATTTACTTTGTACAAAACGGTCACAATACTTTAATTTTGCACGCTTCGGTAATAAAAATTTGAAAGAATAACGAAATGGTAAATCCGTCCAATTTCGCTCCAAATTCCGTTCTAGATCGCCCCGTCAGCATGACACATCAGTGTAAATATTAATTAAAAAATAGTTAATCAGCCGACTTAACCCGAAAGTCCAACCGGTCGGAACAAACCCATCACCCCATTGGCCCCTGAACGCGATCCTTAATTTCCCCTGTCCCGGGCCAAATCTCAGCTAAACCCTCGCGCTCCAATCTCTCGCCGCAGTCGTTGATTTCCTTCAGACGACACTGCGGGGTGTCGGTACGAGCCTCCACCTCAAGCTCAGACAACAATAACTCGTACGGGGCAAGAATGGCACAAAGGCATTGGAGTTGAAGGTGGGGGATGAAGCTGTTCCCGTTGCCTACGATGTACTCTGTAATGATTGGGATACAGAGTGTTACATGCTCACCAAGGATTCGCTTCCAACTAGGGATTTGAACGAGTTCGATTCTCTTTTATTTGCTATTATATTTCCGTTGGAGAGGGGAGGAGATGGCGACGATGGTATTGATGAACGCGATGGGGAGGCAGTGCTGGAGTCGCCGGAATCGACGGCGGAACCGATGGGGTGGGTATAAAATTAGGGGTTTTAGTTGGGTTATATCAGTTCAATTGGATTTGCTCATTAATTTTTTATTAATATTTTAAATGATGATGTGTGCTGACTAGACAGAAGTAACGGTTTTTTGGATGGAGATGGACGGATTTACCATTTCGTTATTCGCTTAAACTTTTATTACCGAAACGTGCAAAATTAAAGGTTTGTGACCATTTTGTACAAAGTGAATAGTTTTGTGACCATTTATGATAATTATCCGATTAATAATGTACGAAAAGAATATAAGGACTTTCACATTCCTCCTTTTTCTCAATGGCCTATCATATCTTTACACATCCCGGGAAAAGGTTACCCCACAGAAAACCAAAAAGAAACATATTTTAAGTTTAACCCTTCGCCTGTTACTCATAGGAAGAATCACCTTACTAATAACTCAACACTGCACAAAAGCACAAGTTTCAGTCACACTCTACCATTAGCAGCAGGGCCATTGCCAACAGGCTCAGCAGAATCTTGTATCGCAAGCTTCAGCACTTCCACAACCTCACCCATCGACGGCCGATCTTTGGCGTTCTTGTTCAGGCATCGATCAGCCAGCTTCCCGATTCGCCTTGCAGAAGCCATGGAGTAGACATTTCTGAGCCGCGGGTCAATGATCATGCTGAACCTTTTGCCGTCGGCTGGGTACTGCTTCACCCAGTCCAGAAGCTTTTGCTCCCCGGTCGGCCTGTTCCTCTCGAGGGATCGTCTGCCCGTGAGGATTTCGTACAACACTACGCCGAAGCTCCACAGGTCGCTGTGGATAGTCAGGTGCCCTGTCTCGATGTACTCGGGCGCTGCATAGCCATGTGTGCCAACCACCTGCAGATACCAGCACAGAGCTGACTCACATGAGATATGATGTTGTTTAGTGATGAGACATGAATAAACAATTTGGCAACTTGGTAAGAGTGATATGTTGACTCTATGATAAGGCTAGAATCGGTTCATCTTCTATACAAAGTTCCTACGGGTCAACCATATGCGGGAACAACTTAAAGTACTTGCTCACAATTTAGAGGCAGCAAATGTTGACCCGATCTGACCTGAACCTATCTAGCTAGAGTGAGTGACCTATACCCCAAACTGACTCGATCACTCTTGACCTGTAACGTAACATAATCAAACTTACGATCCATTCAGACCTCTACCGATTTTTCACAATAATTCGAATCGTTGAAACATATGCAAACTGACAGGAGCTTGTAAAACCTCTTCTAAACTACTACTTACCCCAGTTGACACATGAGTCCGATCACCAGTTGGTCCTTCTCTTGCCAGCCCAAAATCCGACAACTTCGGCCTAAACCCTTCGTCCAACAGCACATTCGAGCACTTGAAATCTCTATATATCACCTGCAGATATCATATCCACACACAAACCCATCTCGTTACAAATTCAGATCATAATGTCTTCATCCATCAGTACAAGAGTGTAAAGCCATCAATGTTCTTACCGGCACTTCCAATCCGCTATGTAAGTAAGCCAGCCCTTCTGCAGCACCAAGCATGATCTCCAGCCTTGTCCTCCATGGCAACACAGGCAAGCCCCTGCTGAACAGATGATCCTCTAAGCTCTTGTTCGTCATGTACTCGTAGACCAACAATCTTTGAATCCCCCTTTCGTCGTCCACCGAGCAGTAGCCCAAGAGCTTCACTAGGTTAGGATGGTTCACGATTCCTAGAAACTGGACCTCTGCAAGCCATTGTTTGTGACCCTAAATATAGAAACAACAGTTCAAAATGAGTGCTTTTTCAATGGATACAAATGCAGAAATGGCCAAACAGAAGAGACAGAACAACAATCAGATTCCTTGACAAATAGAGTATGCCAAAATTGAAACTATCCACATCTTATAAAGAACCTTAACTTTCAAGTTGGTCAGATCAATGGAGTGTATAAAAACATAGCAATTAACTAGGGAAATAGAACAAGTGAGACAATACGAAGCGAAATTCACCTGCAAGCCATGTTTGTTAAGCCTCTTAATGGCCACAGGCAAGCGATCACTCCCAACCCCACCACCATTAGAACTACTACTAGTCACAGCTACAGTCCCTTTGTAAACGCTCCCAAACCCACCTTCCCCAATCTTCAACAGCCGATTGAACCCATTCGTCGCCTGCTTCAGCTCCTCGATCGAGAAAACCCGCAGGTTCTGCTCCTTCTCCTTGTACAGCTCCTTTATCCCTCTCGGCGACGGCAGAGATCTCGACGAACGCACCGCCGCCGCCGCCGCCGAATTGCTCGCCGATGACTTCCCCAGCTCCGGAGCCGAGCTGGACCCTTCCTTCTTGTTCTTCGATGTGTGCTTGAAGAATTTTGGGAAGCACGTCATCTTTGCCAAAACAGGGGAGCTAGCTATGGAAACCTAAGAAGCTCCTCGCTTTGCTCGAAATTGAGTGAGACCCAGATGAGGGAAGGAAGGGAAGGTGGGGAATTTATGAGGGGGAAGGAAGCAGGAGAGAAATTGTTGTAGTGGGAACGGAGGGAAAGCATGGAAGGACTGTTTGTTGGGTGGGGAAAAAAGTGAGGTAGGAAAGAGAAGAGAGAGCTCAAAAAGGGTTTAAGGTTATGGAAAAACAATGACCGGAGTGCTGGAAATGGTTAGAATACTACTTTGAGGTTACGCAAACGCGGAGTAGAACTGGGAAAGGAAGGGAAATTTTGGGAGTACGGAGTAGTGAAGTTGGCGTGTATGAACCGGAAGAGGAAGAAGGCGGAAATGGCTGGCGATAAGAGAGGAGGAAGGAAGTGGACAATTGCGAATTGTCAATGCGGTCAATCCTTTACTATCATCATTACACGTTAGCATGTTCATTTGATTTTTGGATGTATCATTTATATCGTTTGGTTTCTGTGATATTTATTGAAATATTTAAATAAAAAATAATTATAAAAAAACATTATACATAAAATGTAGGAACATAATTGAAACAAATTTTCTTTTTACAATCTCAGCTAAACTATTTCAACAATATAATAAAAAATTTGAGTTTTAACTGTCACTCATTTTAAGTGATAGTTTATATCATATTAAGCAAACAATGCATTTATTATTTGTACAAAATATTTTAGAAAAACAATACATACATTATATAACTATCTCATCCAAACTATCACCAAAACCAAATCACCCCATAATTTTTTTATTTACCTAACTAGTCAGGATTCTGATACTTAAAATAATGAATAAGTATATATTGTCGCCTAGATTACAAATTTGTGTATTTAACTATATATACAACCTTTTGACTAAGATCACGTGTATTTAACTATATATATTCCATCAGGATATTATACAATTTCTCGACATAACATTTCAATATGTTTAAAAGTAACTTTGTTGATAGGTTGGCTAATGTTCTCATCCTACTAAGAAATAAGAATCTGTGATGGTTTTTCTACCAATGTCAGAACAAAATCATAAAATATTAACTCAGTGTGTGGGAAAAAATGTATATGTTTGAATTTTTATAAGGAATTTTTGAAAATCTAACTCTTGTAGACCGAGTTTGCAGTGACTGTCGGCTAAAAATTTTGATGAAAATTTGTTGATCCTCTAGTATATGTCTATGTGATTGAATAATGGATTTGCACTTAATATAAGAAGTTTTGGCCACTAGATTATAATAATTTTGTGTGTGATAATGAGTGGGAAATATTGAAAGAAACAATTATAAAAAAATATATTAAAAATACTTACTTAAAGTATGAATAACAAATTTCTTTATAATTTTATTAGAATATACATCATAGTTGTTATAAGGATGAAGTTTGTATTACCCTGTTATTTTTTTTACAAATGAATTATTTGAACATTAATTTTTTAGTAATATACTTTAATAAATTATTTTAAGCAAAATGACACTTTTGATATCCGATTTTCTAACTTCATCCCTATCCACCCTAACATTCGAACTTGGAACCTCTTTGATTGAAAACATTAAGGGTACATTTAGACTAAATAAATGTTCATTTTGCCCGATTAGTCTGATCACTATATATAATTCAATGTTGTAGCCCGAGACAAGATGATCCTTCCTAAGAGACAAGGAGGTGTCGGGCTCAGATTTTTGAAGCATGCAAACTTGGCGATGCTTGCTAAAAGCGGGTGGCGACTGCTCACTGAGAAAGAGACTCTCTGGAGTCTGGACTCAGCTGATGGTTTCCAAGTACGGTCGCCAGCGGGAGCACCTCGATCTCATCCGGAATCTTAAGGGAAGTTCTTTTACTTGGAATAGCATCTCTAAAGCTGCTAGTCTTCTTAAGAAAGGTTGTGCCTGGAACATTAAGAATGGAGAGAGCACTAAGTTATGGAATGGTACGTGGGTTTTGCAGGTTCCTCTTAAAGAAGTGGCTTGTGGGACCATCCCGGAGCATCAACAAAATGTTGTTGTAGCGGAGTTCATGACTGAGGATGGTAGATGGAAGACCCACCTTTTTGCGGAGCTTCTCCCTGTCGAGGTGCACCAGAAGATCCTGAGCATTAGCGTGGACAACCTGTCGCAGGATGAAGATACTATTTTTTGGACAGCGTCGTCGGATGGCCGCTTCTCGGCAAAGTCAGCTTACTCTCTCCTTAATGAGAGCCCTCTCGACCCTGAGGAGAAGTCCTGGAAGATCATTTTGAGTCTGCCTGTCCCGGAACGTATTAGAAGCTTCATGTGGTTGGTAATGCTTGGGGAGGTCGCGACTAACTCTCTTCTGTTTTCCAGGAAGGTGGCGCCCAGCCCGAATTGTACTCGATGTAATGAGCCGGTTGAGTCGATTCTTCACATTCTTCGAGACTGCACTCCAGCCTGCTACTTCTGGACTCGCCATGTTCCTGGAACTTTGCTCCATACTTTTTAAAGTCTGGACGAACGTAGCTGGCTGCGGGAGAACCTCAATAGCAGTGAGCAGCTAGGCTCCGGGATAAGCTGGCCCGCTTTTTTTAGCATCGCGACTTGGCTCATCTGGAAAAATTGCTGCACTACCTGTTTTAGAGGTGTGAGCTCTGCCCTTTCACCTCCATCTCTTGAGCACTCTATTATGGTGAAAAGCAAGTTATGGCATGACGCGTGGCTTGCTCCGTCTCTCCCGAGCTCCAGATGTCGCCCATCCGCCCGCACGGTTGCTTCGATCGGGTGGAATCCACCGCCTGTTGGGTGGATGACCCTGAACGTGGACGGAGCCTCCAACGGGAATCATAGGGCAGCCCGAGCAGGGGGAGCCCTCCGCAACTCGACTGGACGATGGATTGCCGGCTTTGCAGCGAGACTTGGCGTGGCGACTGCACCTCTAGCGGAGCTTTGGGCCATCTTTCATGGACTAGACCTGGCGTGGAAGACAGGATGTCGAGCTCTCATCCTTGAATCTGATTCCCAGCTTGCCATTCAGCTTCTCAAGAACATACATGACCCTGTGCACCCGTATGCGACCCTGCTGTCAGCTATTCGGAGGAAGATCAGTCAAGATTGGCTGGTGCGCATCACTCATACATACCGGGAAGGGAATAGAGTCGCAGACTGGCTCTCGAAGCACAGTCTCGTCTATCCCTACGATATGTACGAGCTTACAAACCCGCCTATCGAACTTGTTTCGATCCTCCAAGAGGATGCGAGGGGTGTTTCCTTTGAGCGCGGGATAGTGGTGCATGCTCCTCTTACTATGTAATCTACTTTTGTAACCTCTCCTTCTTGGCTTTGGCTAATGCAAAAAAAAAATATATATATAATTCAATACTATCGTGCTTGCCTATGTATTCTCCATGTATTGTTTTTCCTTTTATCGTTTTTCCAGTCTGGACTTCAATTTTGGGAAAAGATGGTCCATCTTCTCATTTACAGTTTGGTCGAGTAGGGTTTTCTTTTCTATGCAACATGATAAGGACAGAACTCAGAAGTGATCAAATGAAGGTTCCATTATGCTTAATTAATTGAATGTCATGGGTCGTACGTATATAAACACAATAAATCTGTATGTGGAAAATGGTATTATTCTATCCGAATTGTGGAGAAAATGAGACACGAAAGTAGACCAAGAGGACTGTTTTGACTTGAGAACTTTCAACTCTTTTTTTTATTCCTCTTCTTCCTTGTTCTTTCTTTGTTTATTTTTCTCTTAACAGCTGATTTCACATGCTGTGGTTCCAATGTTTCACTAGGGCCCGACCGTGGCCTAACCTATGAAAGATCCTTCAAAAATTGTGGTATCCATGTTATGCTGTAGTCATTGGTCATGTCGCGTGTTGATTATCTCGCTATAAGAATCTTAATACATGTTTATTTTTCAATATACAAATTGACTTCGAGTAATTATGAATTGTTTATTATTATATAATTTGTACAAATGAGTTTGATATTTGATTTTATTTTTCTCTCTTGGCAATGTGATAAGTAATCATCACAAACTCTTTTTTTTTTCCTTCTCCTTCATATTGCACAAACTATACTTTGGATGGAAAAGAGATATCTTGTGTAGGAAATTCATCGGCCTTTATCTTGAACTATAACGGTCACTAAGGTTCTAGTTTGAGTACTATCAAAATTGACCTTCAAGGTTTTAACTTTTAACTAAAAGAGTCTTAACCTCAACGATTTTAATGAACTTTCGTACAAGCTAACACATTTCCTAATATGTTATACCCTTTCGACTTTGATCGCTTTAATCCCTATTGCTATATGAGTTCTATTTGTTCCGGATAAGTTCTATTATACTCATCACAAATAAATTTAATTGTCTCAAATCATATGCGAGCTCGATGAATTATTTTCCTTCGAATCGTATCAAAATCCTAGACATAAGACAATGTAATCATAAAAGGAAAACCCTAGGCAAAGGCATTCATAGTGACATATCTTCATAGTGATAGTGATACATAGTCAAGCTCTCTGGTCTCTAGTGCTTGTGGCAATTACAACCAACACACCTCTTTTTCTTCTTCTTCTTCTTCCAATTAGTCATTTTTCATGCCAAAGCAACTTGCGAGACTGTGCGGGTGGAGCTAATCCAGGAATATCTGAGATATCCTTGTTATTGGGATTCACTATCTGGAAAAAAGATATTAAGAAAGGAAAACAACAGGAATGAATGAACTGAAAATTATAAATGATCATATTGTGGTTATAGATGCCTAATTGACTAATTACCTTGACAATGATGATTATGACCACTCCCATGACAATAAGGAAAAGCATTGCCATAATCAATTTGTCAGTTGCAAGCTGGTAATAAAAACAATGTTGGTTTGAGAAAATTCGATAACTATGTAATAAAAACGCATATCGAAAGAGGTAAAATCGCAGAGCTTGACCTGCCTACCAATTTCCTTCACCAGTTTAGAAGCTCTCTTCATCGAGAAATGGATAGAATCTAGCTCATTGACTATCATGCTCATTTGTTCGGTCTGGACATGGAAATATTATCGTTACATAACAATGTTGGAATTAATAGGTGATTGATTCACATGATCAACCTATAATTATCAGAAATCATTAGAGAACTTATTCGTATTTTACATACTTGAGCTTTAAGAGAAGCAGCAGTCTCCGTTCCTACGTCAATGGTTTCTTGAACCACCTAATAACAAAATAGATAACTTTCGTATAATCTATATAAATAAAAGTTACGTTATTGGGTCAAAATTTTGAACGGTTAGTGTGATATGGGGATATAGACTAACCATTTTGCTCCTTTCAATTGATTGATCAGTCTCATCCATCATTTTGTTTCCGCGGTCCATTAATTGTTCATTTGTCATGGCTACACACAATTTAGAAGTCTTGCTGTGTTAACAAACAAATAAAGGACAATATGAAACAACTAGTTAATGATTAGTGATACATGAATTGCTAACTGATTTGAAGTTCATCTAACTAAGCTCTAAACCCAAACCAAACTACTTGGTGATGGTCTGATGGAGTGTATTAGGTATGTTCTACAATTAGACAGTACCTACAATGGTGGTGCTAAAAGTTGTATAACAATTACACTATCTATGAAAATGTGTCACCAAAATGAAGACCTTTCCTGTTTAAAGGACCAAAATGAAGACCAAATTATCACTGTTTTTTATGAGAAAGAAAAGGAAAGATGGGAAAAAAGGAAGCAATGGCAACAAGTAACAATATTTTCCATTATTATACCTAGATTTACATCAACCGAGTTGCAAATGCTGCGGCTCATACTATGCAGAAAAGAGTTGGAATGATCAAGTAGTTTTGTCAAATATGTCAACGATTTATCTGATTAATCAACTTACGTTGGACGATCTAACAATAACTACTGATCGATAAAATTCTTCAATTTCGATAAATGTGTATCTGGATAGGAAAGGGAACATCTTACTTGAAGCAAGGAGTACATTGTCTTCGGGAATTCCTTCATTAGGTCCATCAAAAAGATCAATTTTCTTTTTCTCTATATTGGTAGTATGTCTGTGTACATAAACTAACAATTAAGAAATCTATTGATGATTTATCAAATGAAAATAAAATTCAATCTTCAATAACCCCATTGTCAAACCTGGGTCCAATTTACCTATATTAATGTCATAATCAAAATGAAATAACAATAGAACTAATAGTCTTTGAGAGATGTGGAAGCAGACATATCATATCAATATTTTTAGTGACTGTGTATTACTTTTAACAATGTAAAAATACGAACTTACTGTTTCTTCAAAGCAACATAAGAATTTAATTCCTTAATCTGCATTAAAAGAAAAAAATTACTAATGAACTTTCAAAATGGTTCAGAAATCAAAATTTTATGACTGTCACCCAGTAAAGTTAGACTAATTAAAAGATAAAAGCACTAATTACCATTGACTGTTTTTTCTCACTTAGCATTCTATTTGTCACAGCGTCAGTTCTGCTTTCCAAATCCTTGACTTCTCTGTCAAACTCCTTGATGAGCCTAAAGGTAAATAGGTAATATTAATAATGCAAAGCATTTATGTAATAAAACAATAAAAGGAAAAATTCTGTGAAATATTATTTAAGTTTTAAAGGGTAAAAGTGAAGTAATTACCAATAGATATTTAAAATACCTTTTACATTCTCTCATCTTATCTGTAAGCTCCTCCAATTGCCTGTTTTTCCTATTGGCATCTTTAACCTTCTCCAACTTTTGAAATCCATTTCTGAAAAATATAAAATGTGTTTAGTTATCATAATCATATGAACATATAAAAAACAATTTTATTCTAACAAAATATTGGTAAACATCATAATGTAAAACAAAAACAAAATCCAATATTATTAGACCTTTGATAAACACATTCATGATTTCAATTTGAAAGCAATGTGAATCAAAATGAAGGATAAACTTATAAAATAAAGAAAGAAAAGTCAGCTTACGATAAAGCTCGAAAAATATCTGCAATTTGTCCGTCGAGCTCAGCTGCTTCTTCACTAATAAGCGATAATTGATCCATTTGAAAAGATCTATCGAACCTGCTTCCTGTACCGATACAAATATATCACACAAAAACATTACAACGAAAATAATGGATCATTTGTCACCAAAGAATGTCGAAAGTTGCTAATTTACCTCAAACAAATGTTCTTGGTTCGATCGTGAAAATTTCGAGTATCCAAATATTCAATATAAAACGAAATAAATCGGGATATTTGGTTTGGAACTAGCTTGACAAATACAATCAATACAATTGGATTGGGATGAACATTGTGATTAGTAACTAGGAAATTAAGAGGAACCAAGAATATTGTAGAATTTGTGTATTTCCACTTGATCGATGATATGATCTAGGGTTTATGGTGTTTTTTTATTCGAGAAAGAATTCGAAGAAGATTGTAGAACAATGAAAAATTGGAATGAAAATATAGATATTTGAGGCAATTTTCGTAGTTGACCATCAACGTTGTAATTCAAACACATCACTTCAGTTTATCTTAATTTGACATATGTTCAAATGAGTGATCATCTGAATGACATTTACATCGGCCTACATAAAACTAACAAATACATAGTTTTCCATATGTAATGTAGGTCAAACAAGCATGGTAAGCTCCATTTCAAAATTTGCGATATCAAGAACACATCGATCGACACGACTTATAATGATACCATCTACTGTGATTTGCCTCCAATATAATAACTCAATTCCATAAACGTACACTTGATACACCAAGGATCCACTCTCGTATAGCCATATGTAGTGTAACACAATGACGGTGAAAATTGTACCAGAAATTACATAAAAAAAAGTTAGTAATAAAGTATTTTGTACTAAAACCATGATTGAATTATGATTCAACCGTTTTGTTATGCTAAAAATAATATCACCTTTCATTTGGTGTCTGGTCTCTATGGTAGCGGTTCTTAAATCACCTACCATTTGAGGAGGCCACAAGCTAGCTTCTTGAGGATATATGCAAGCCCATTCAAACCTAATGCACCCATTCATTTTAGTCCAAAGCCCAATAGCTATTCTCCTCACGGGCCCATAGCATGAGCTAGATTCGTCAAAACTGGTTTGTCTGGTTTGTCTTTTCCCTCTTCGTTTTCAGGTTTTCTGACTCCCACTCTCATTGGCCACCACAGCTGAAACAGAAACGAGATTCCCTAACTACATTGCCCAATCAGGATCCACTTCCTCACCACAACACAGAATCGTACTTACTGCTTTGCCTAAAAGTTACAAACTTGAAAGGGAAATCTTGAAACCATGAAAGGAAAAGCCCAGAAAGTACAGACCCACTCAGAGTATGGAGAAAGAAAAAAGACAGAAAACAGAGAGATAATGTAATGTTGGGTGGTTGGGTGGTTTCATATTAACTCACGTCATTAATTCCCCCTCTGATTTTCCCAAGATTTGGAGGAAGGGTATTGATTGACTCACAGTCTCATGCAACAAGAAAATTGATAAAGTATGATCGGGGAATCGTTTGCATAAGCCAAAAGAAATGGGGCAGAGAGAAAAACAGAGCAGGGATGTCATGTCAGGCATGCATTGCATTGATGATGGTAGACAGTCTAAAATACTTTGGTTTAGGGTTCGTACTATATCCCAATGGTGTTCTATGTTAGATATCAGTACTTTCATGTGCTTGTAGTATTGGAAGTTGGTAAATGCGTTACTTGTTTGGTAGGGAATGACTTGGATTGTACTTAGAATGATCGGTTACAAGAAGGGACCAAAAAGTACCCGAATAGAAAAAGTTGGCTCATAGTAAATGATTGAACCAATCGGTACTTAAAAGATACATTCAAGAAGAGCAAAGTAAATAGTGAACCAACCATCAACAGATCTAAAAACTTGATCCAAAACCAGCAAATTCAAAAAGCAAAGCAAAGAGTGAACCAACCATGAGCGGATCTAAAAACTTTATCCAAAACCAACAAATTCAAAAAGCCCTCTCACAACCAAACCAAACATAGCAGCATCACGAACATATCCACTTCGTCCGACACTGTCAAGACTATGACTATTGAACATAACCGTCATACGTTACTTCCTAGGACTTGCTCGAAGACAATCAAATACAGTGAATTTCGAAACTAAAATTACATGGCAAGTCAGACTTTACCTTTACAGAGGAGGGAAGACGGCCTAATTCCTTGGTACTATGGTCCCTTCTCCTCCCAATTTTGTCCCCTCATCATTTGTGGGCAATTTCATTGTTGAACAGATAGAAGAAGGTGGAAACTGCCACCTTAAAGTCATATATTTTGGTTTGATCGTCCCGGGGAAGACAACTTGAGGAAGGGACCTCGTCAGCAACACGGGACCTAAACGATCCACAATCTCCTCTCTCAACTGTAAATAGAAAACAATGTTAGAATAAATAACAAATGTCCTTTATATTTGGAAAAGCAATGGAAAGTCATAACTAACCTGATGAACTAGTAATGGTCGAGGCTGAGGCACCCCATCAGTGGGGTGGGTGATTCGTGGGTGCGATCTAGTCAGAAACCAGTCAACGTACTCCTCCACGATCTCCGATGGCTGCTCGCACGGCCGAGAAGCAAAATCCAAATCTAGACGACGGGCTGCCACGTTATCCCACAACTGATTCACCCACGGATCCCAAAAGACTATGTAACTGCTGCTGGAAGCCGGACGGTACTGGTCATGTGGTACCGTCATAGCACGGGGGATAATTTGTCGGTATCCAAACTGGCGCAGACAACGTGCAGGATCGTATCCCTCAACAATGTCAGAAAAGCGAATGGGGCCAGTATACAAGGAGCGGGGTATATCTGTGTGGCCATCTCGTCCGTACGGAGTCCAGGTCACATCATCAGCTGAAAGCTCATCCAACAACTGTCGATAAAGTGCTAACCTCTGTCTAGCCTCATCCCCACCAGGAAAACGGGGAGAAATCCACGAGGAAGCACGAGGTGCATCCGGAGACTGCGACAGCTGGCTCGGACGGAATAGAGGAAAGTACTCATATATCCAAGCCTGAAGCAGGGTCAAACAACCACAAAGACCCTTACTACCCGCTCGTGTGGCCACTCCCAACTGTCTGTAGAGATAGGCTAGTGCACCAGCTCCCCAAGCGTAATCAGTCAATCGTCGATGATCCTTCAGAAACAAGTTGATCGCAGGACGAAGGCGATCACGACTCTTATCCACAAAAAGCGTGGATCCCAGTAACACAAATAGGTAACACTGCACCTCCATCTCCTTAATCTTCAGCTCTCCCCCACGCACCAACAATCCCTCTGCATGCATAGCACCATTATCATACCACTTAGACTTCCACTTACCACCAACCTGAGCATCCACCCAAAGTCGAACTAGACCACCCATGTCTGACTTAAGAGTATCCTGCGAGTTGCGACGCCTCATCTCCCATCAGCTCTCCGTCAACCGGTATCCGAAGAATGTGATGCACATCGTGTAGAAGGATCGAAATCTCCCCAAACGGCATGTGGAAGGTGTTTGTGTCCGGCTGCCACCTCTCCACAAATGCCGACAGTAGAGCCATGTCTAAATGCTGCATCATGCACCCTGTCAAGTGAGACAATCCTGTGGCTTCAACCATCTCCTTGGAACCCTTTGCACTCCACTTATATCGCCTCAAAGTCTCTACAGCTCTCGGCCTATGGAAGCCGTCCAACACTCCACGGTCCTGCTCAGGGGAATTCCACAGTACAAAGCCAATGTGACCTCCAAAGCTAGGGATCACATCAGGAATCACTGGTCCACCTGAACACATCGGAGACTCGGCTGTAAGAAACCACGACATATATTTCCTCGTGGTCTTCCTCTTCCTATTTCCATCTCCGCCATCCTCGCTACTAGGTCTGGACGCATAGCGTCCATCGGGCCCACGGAAGTGGGAGGAGGCAGCAAAAGATATCCCGACCCGCGCCGTCTTCCCCACGCCTAAATCAGCTTGAGGTGGGGCATCCCCAACCTCAGCATCACCAGCACGATCACCAGCATCAGCACCAGCATCATCATCAACATCATCACCAGCATCTGGGGCATTCCCAAGCTCAGCATCACCGTCATCATCATCATCCTCGTCAATGGAATCACTCCAATTAGCCTGCCATACCAGTGCGCTATATGGTGTAGGAGTACTGGTAGTACCTCGACTAAGAGACAACTGCCCCACAGTAGGGTGGCCGTCAGGACGCACTACATCCGCCTTCTTCTTCTTCCTTCTAACCTTAGGTGGATTTTTTTCTTCACTTTCCTTCCTACCAGTCGCCGTAAGTCTACAAGCACTACCTTCCATTATCTCCTTATTTCTCGCCTTAATCATATCCAGTTTACCCATTTCATGTCCAGACATCTTCAAAAAAAAGTTTGAATTATTAATAATGGAGCACATAAAGTAATTAATTTAAGATTTTCATAATTAAAATTATTAAACTAATAGTTTTAACATTTATGTTACGTTCTATGTAATAATTATTTACTTTTTAATCAAGGTAAAATTATTAATAATTAAGTAGATAAACAAATTACTTTGAAATTTTGATTATTAAAATGATAAAAACGCATTTTTAATTTTTTTATAATGTTCTTTAATTTGTTATCATTAATTAACATTTATCGAATACGTTTTTTAAATTTTTTATATCATTATTGAAAAAATATATAACTAAATTATTTTTATTAAATATTTTTTTTTAATAATTTTATTATTATTAGCATTTAATGAATAATAAAAACAGAATTAAAAAAAAACCGCGGTCAACTCGCGGTTCAGCCAACGGGTGACCGCGAGTCGCTTGCGGTTGGGCTTACCTCTCCGGCGTTGGGCGGCGGGCGACGGAGACGGCTGCTGGCGACTGCGGGAGGCGGCGCGGCGGGAGGCGGGCGACTGCGGGCGGCGGGAGGCGGCGCGGCGGGCGACTGCGGGCAACGGTGGGAGGCGGCGGGCGGAGGTGGGTGGTGGTCGGCGGTGAGGTGAGGTGGAGAGTTGCAGAGGTGAGAGGAGTTGAGGAGGGAGGGGGAATGAATTTGAATTGTGAATAAGGGGTTGTTTGTTTTGAGTTTTTGCTTAAGGGCATATAGGTAATTTTAGATTTAAGTTAGGGTGACGTTTAGCAATTCTTAGGGCGACATTTAGCGATTCAGTTAAAATGATCGGGTTTCCTTGTCGATGTGTTATAAAGGTATTTGTTGTTTTTATTTATGTTCTGGAAGACACCATGTGGACGTCTTAATCGCTATACGTGTATA